AACCCTAACCCTAACCCTAACCCTAACCCTAACCCTAACCCTAACCCTAACCCTAACCCTAACCCTAACCCTAACCCTAACCCTAACCCTAACCCTAACCCTAACCCTAATATGCTCTCATGTATGGTCATAATGAGGTTCCACGGCTTCCCTCCGATTCTTCGCATCTGGCCGTAGCTCAGGTGATCTCGAGTCAGACTTCAACAAGAAGCCGTTTTCTTTATGTCCCGATATCGCGGCTGGTGGTACGAAGTGTCTCAATTCGTTGTCCTCCGACAAAGGGCTCATACCAACCCGATAATGAACCCCCTAACCTCCGCCGCCTCACGTAGGACCGTGTAGAATGTGCTTAGATAATATTGCGTGCAATCGTCTGACTAGGCCAGTGTGGCACTTGTCTCGGGGCGGGCAAGGGAGTACAAGAACTACGCATGATATTGGCTTCTACCTTTGGCTTCTTTCTTCGAGTGTTACAAAGTGAGACTGGGAAGGGATCTCTAAAACAAGTAGGGATGTGCCATGCGGGCACACTGCTGCTCCTCATCCTGTAGCGTGTTATGAACAACACTCCGACCGCGTGGAAATGGGGACGCACAGTCTTGCAGATGAACATGGGTATCTTGCTGGATTCCGTCGAGATTTTGATAACGACATCGTCCGAATCGAGGCCGTTGGCTTGGGAGTCGAGCTCCGCGCCAAGCCAATGTAAATACTTGGCGATATCGGCTCGCAGGCGAGTAGCATGTTCTCCTATGCCGCCGGAGAACACGATGCCGTCCAAATGTGTTGGCAACGTCGGATGTCCTTTCAGCTTGTTCAAGTACGAGCCCAAGAAATTGCAAACGCGGTCCAAGAACAAGGCGTATGTAAACGCATATTTATCGTCAGGGGAAATGTCCAAGGAAAAGGGGTCGAAGCCTTGAGGCAGGTGGGAGATGATCTGGCCGAAGTCTGATGTGCCAGCCAAGGCCTGCAGACCACCATCACTATCGATGAATGGTAAATAGATGTGCAGTTGGAAGTGTACGCAATACGCACGTGTTCAGGACAAGCTCTGCTTTGGTTATATCGGTGCCCTTGTATGACACAATCTCAACGGACGATGGTGTGTGATGGAAGATTAGAACCGGGTCTACGCAACCGGTTCGCGTGCCGCCGGGGAGGCCTGACAAACATGTCACACTTCCAACTTTAATCTCAGGGAACGAGTGCCTACCTTCGAGAGGGGAAAGGCCCATCGTTGTGTCCTCACTCTTGCCACTTCTAATCAGACACATGCTTGCACCGCTCCCAAGATGAGCAACGACGAGATTGGTGTCCTCCTCTTTCTTTCCGAGGTAGTTTGATACCGAGCGCAGAATGGCGGAGTAGGAGAGCCCGTGAAATCCATACCTGCGGAGCGGCACAGGCGAGGGTTCCTTAGGTGGGGCGATTGGATAAGTGTAGACTTTAGCCGGTATGGTGTGGTGGAAGAGGGTATCGTAGCACAGAACTTGATGTGCGGCGGAAAGATGTTCCAGACATGCTGAGGACTGGTCAGCATCTACTGATGAAATGAATGCAGTCATGTACATTTGACAACAATAATCGAGCGATGGTTCTGAAGCGCAAACATCAAACAGAAATCTCGTTCGTCGATTATGGGTGCTTACATGAAGCGGAGCAAACTCCGCCAATTTGTCCAGCAGATCTATGCCCTCTTCATGGCCGGGCCAAAGCACCATCGGTTCACTTTGCGTTCCGCCATGTACAACACGATGAGCAACGAGTCTGATCAAATCACGGGGACGTTCATGATCTTCACCCGCAAAGTGTTTGAGCTGAGACTCTTCAAGCAGGGTAATGATACGTTCGAAGACAAGTTCATCTACAAGGGAAAGTGTGAATGGCTGGTGACAGCGAATTCAGAGGGACGTACAAGGCATGTGCTCGTCTTCCTCCTCCTGGTGCTTTTCTTCCTCTTCATGACCGTGCTCATTGTGAAGTACGGTGTACTTGATCACCGGCTTGAGACCCTTCTGCTCAACATTGGAAGCTGATCCGGAAAAGATGGAGCGAAGAGAGGAAGCGGTGTAAAGCTTGAACTTGATCGAGGATGATCCACAATTCTATATGAATGTATGCGCGTGATCAGTACTGCTCGGACGATGAGAGGCAATGAGCTCACGACCGCCAATATGAGCTTGTTCTCTATGTCGGCGGGCTCAGGCATGATTAGGATAGTGATAAGGAGCTGTTCGTTGTTCGTGTTCGAAGAGAGGCGTGCCGCATGCTCTTAAGTAGGGGCTGCACGTTTCCGCCAGGCTATGACGAGGGGAGCGGGAGGCTCGATAGGTTGGTGCCGCCTCCGCTGATGTCCTTACTGTCGCGCACGTGAATCTCCCCGACATCGCCGTGGGAACGAACAGCCAGGGGGCGCAAATCAAGGGGCGCCGCTCATGCTGAGCAAGATCCGAACTTTCTCCAGCCGCACTACATTGATACATGCTACTCTTATACATACAAGTCTGGACAGAGAAAATATACCATGCGGGCCATGAACCATCCTCGTTCACGGCGGCCCGTTCCAGAACATCACCTCATCTCGAGGCGGCAGCGTCTCCCATCCCATGGACTTCATCATGTTCCGCAGTAGGTCGCATGAGCTCGGAAACACCAACATGCACATCACTTCAGTCCACTGAAACCGATAAGTTCTCATCTGGAGCGGAGAAACCTTGTCACCTACGAAAGTCCGGAGAATCTCTTCATTCCCGCTTGTTTCGTCAAGCCACGCCTTTACAATCTCGAGCCGTTCCCTGTCCAGCGCAGCTTCCCTCAATCTGATCTTCAGCACTTCCCATCCACTGAGCTCCTCGGTTTTTCGCGGTAGGAATGGAGGAGAAGGTAGCTTCTCAAGGATCGATTCTGGTGGTAGCAGGTATTTCAATCGCATCCATCGTCGTCTTCGGACAAAAGCGCCGGCGCTCAAGAACCCGATCGTGGGTCGCCATCCCTTCTTCCGAAACCACCAGTTGTATTCAAATCCATCCTCCTGGACCTACACGTGTGATAAAGTCAGATTCCTCTTCCCTCTTGCCTTTTCACTGCATACCTCACCATCACCTCTCATGTCCACACACCATCCTTCGCCCATCCACTGCCATTCCGGACTAGGAAGTTGAAAGTCGTCTAGGGAGCAAGGCAACGGGTCAGCACTGAGTGTAGAGAAGGCCGGGGGATCTGTTGGTAGTAGGCCGGCTTGGGAGAATAGGGGAGTCCAAAGAAATCTGAAACTGCAAGGCCGTTAGCAACGCGTAACAATCTTCACAATCAACACACCCTCTTTGGTGCTCCATTACATAGTCCCACTCGAATTTGATTCTGCTCTCAGTGACAGGGTGTAGAACTGACGGCAATTCTGGATCCTCTTGAGGAAGTTGGACATATCGATCGAACTTGGAGGATAACCCCGTTATGGTAGATGCATCCTCGTCGCCTGACTCCTGAGGGAGCAACCGCAAATCGGGACCCTGCGCTCGCGACGTGCTGACTTCCTCTAGGTTGCTTTCCGATGTTTCAGACTGGTCTCCCGAAGTCGCGGCGTCTTGGATTACTTTTGGTTTGTCCCTCTTACCAAGGAGAAAGGAAGACTGCTTTCGTTTCCGTTTCTTCTGTATCAAAGAAATCGTTGGCGTGTCCTCTTCGGAAGGTTGAGGTGATAGGCGTGGCATAGGCGGTTCTTGGAACGACATGATATCTTAAAGACTGAGAATGGAGGTGTCAAGGTACCAGAGGAGACAAGAAGGTGTGTCAAGGAGGGACGGTGCAACGAGATGGAGGTCACATCGCGTCCGATGTTCGAGGACGAGAGATGCGCGTCACATAGACCGATTGTCCGTAAACCCGACAAGTCCCGTTCCGCTTCCGCCACTTTCTCTCTGAGCTCACCAAGTGCTGCTCATACAGCGACGTTCAACCTCCCATCGTCCTGTCCCCGCATCATGTTCCGCATAGCTCGCCAGATGGTCCTAAGACCTGTTCTGGCTCGCTGCAACTCTTCTGCTATCATTCCTCAGGCACCGAATTACCCCTCGACTTGGTCGGCAGATCAGAATCCACGACCAGCTCCCACCTCCGGACCACGCTTTGAGCAGGTTGTATACGAATTGCAACCCAATCCTCCCAGTGCAATGGCACTCGTTGCTGAGGATCCTATCCGGTTGGTGAACGGCAGGAAAGCTGTTTGTGATGGAGGTAAGTCGCTTCTTGCGGTCCCGTCTGGCGGGACCTAGGCTGATGTGTTTCCCAGGCGGAGGACCTCTTGGCCACCCCAAGATTTACATCAACCTGGTAATTATCGTTCTATTGCCATTGGTACAACGTTTAGACTAATGCCGTGATACTATAGGACAAGCCTGGTCCAAGGGCATGTGGGTGAGTGTTTCTTTTCCCATGTTCCCAACCCGTGACTGAATCTGTTACTTCTAGATACTGGTAATACTCTAACGGGAGCAGCCTATCACCTCGGCTAACTGCATACTTCCGTAGTGGCATTCGATTTGAAAAGAATCCGGAGCACGGTCACGGACACCATTAACGGCCGACAGCTAATCATCGGCGATCAGTACCCTGAACGATTAATTACGAATGAGGAGACCTCGGCTGATGAAACTGTTTCCGGTGGGGGAGACCTGCATGTTCGAGATAGGGTTGTTTTAATTGCAATCAGCTCGCAGTCGAGTAACAGAGCAGTAAATCAGACAGACATCGCTAAGCGAAGGGATTCGGAAGAGGACGGAGATCCCATGAGCGCTTTACGGTTGACGGATTCAGCGCGGCATTGGAACGGGAGTTCTTCACCGGTGTCCAAGAACCACGTGAAGCAAGAGATAGTCGTTAAAAGGGTTAAGCGGATTATCAGCACGCTGAATGGTTAACCCGCCTGTTTCTCGTCGCTCTCGCGATCCTCTGTTCCTTCTGGTCTTCATCACCTTGAGCATTGAAAGTTGAGTTTGAGTGGTGACGATGGCTGAGAAACAGCACAAGCTCCTGATCGCGAATCGCGGCGAGATCGCATACAGGTTTAGAAATTGGACCCCTTCTTTGAGCGCTCGGCTAAGGACTTTATAGGATTCTTCGCACGGCGAAGCGTTTGGGCATACCAACTGTCGGAATCTACACTTCGTATGCGATTGTTTCCTTGTTGTCATTCGACCTGCAATAACTCTGGACAGGGTAGACGCTGTTGCGCCGCATGTGCTGGAAGCTGACGAGTCGTCACCTGTCGGAAATACTGCCGACGGAGAGGGGGCTGATCCGCATGGCTACCTGGATGGCGACGCTATCATCGAAATCGCTAAGAGGCATGGAGCCACGCTCATTGCTCCTGGATATGGCTTCCTCAGTGAGAACGAAGATTTCGCACGGAAATGTGCCGCGGCAGGGTTGATCTTCCTCGGGCCGACCCCGGAGCTCATTCGCCAAATGGGCCTTAAGCACGAAGCGCGGAAGCTCGCTGTCGAAGCTGGAGTTCCGGTGGTCCCGGGAAGTGAGCTTCTCACAGATGAGGAGGAAGCGGTCAAATTCGCAAATAAGCTGGGCTATCCTGTTATGCTTAAGGCAACGGCGGGCGGAGGAGGGATGGGTCTGCAGGTCTGCAACAATGATCAAGAGCTGCGCCATAAGTACGAAGCAACCCAGAGCAGGAGCATGGTAGGAAATTGATTGCCTCACTGAAACAGATTCTGAATCATTTTAGACGCTTTTTAAAGACGGTGGTGTCTTCCTGGAGAGATACTTCCCTCACAGCAGGTTGGTGCCGAGCGCCTTTCCGTTGTTGTCGGGCTCATCCAAGTGTCTGTCAGGCACATTGAAGTTCAGGTGTTTGGAAACGGGAAACATGTCATTCACATTGGCGAGCGGGAATGTTCGGTGCAGAGACGGTCCGTCATACCTCTGCCTTTGGACACTCTCTGAATGTGTTTCATCTTAGGCACCAGAAGGTGATCGAGGAGACGCCTTCACCATTCATGCTCCGTCACCCAGGTACGATTTCATGTGCAGAATGACTGTTTCGACCTAACATATGTTCAGACACACGGCACAAACTCTGCGATGCGGCTGTTCGACTCGCGAACCTCATCGGATACAAGTCAGCGGGTGAGTTTGAGAGAGCAGGATTGAATGGTACCTCATAATTCGAATAGGAACCATCGAAATGCTTGTGGACGATGAGTGAGTAGACTGTAACCACTGATAGATCTGTCTGAACCGTGGTCTGTAGCACTGGAGAGTTCTTCTTCCTCGAAATGAACACCAGGCTTCAGGTTTGACTTCCCCTTCAGGGCACCAGTTCTCGCGCTGAACCCCAGGCAGGTCGAACATGCTATAACCGAAGCAGTCAACCCCGGTCTGGATATTGTCGAGCTTATGATTCGACAAGGGATTGAAGAGTCCAAAGGGGGACGACTGTCAGAGAAGGAGCTACACCAGGAGAGATATGTTAACCTTCCTAAACTTCACGCTTTCGAGGCTCGCGTGTATCTTGAGAATCCCACTGCAAACTTCCAACCCTCTCCTGGTCTGCTTCAGCACGTGGCCTGGCCAGCTCCGCACCCTTGGTTGCGAATGTGAGATTTGCTGCTCTTGTCTAACCTTGGTATCCGAGAAGCTGATCTTCATCGCAGAGATACGTGGGTGGAGACTGGCACCAAGGTCTCTCCATACTACGACCCTCTGGGTATGATTATTATCCGTTCTGCAGAATTCCCGAGTTCACATACTGGCACAGTCTGCAAGATCATTGTGACGGGCCATGACCGAAACCAAGCGATCCGACACATGCTAAAGGCACTGCATGACAGCCAGCTGTTTGGCCCTACTTCAAACATGGATTATCTCCATGCAATTTTCTCTTCCGATGTGTTCATCAAAGGAAATGCCCTCACCTCATTCCTGGCCAACTTTGACTACGTCCCGCATGCAATGGATGTTTTAGTTGGGGGTCTGAGCACCACTGTGCAGGACTATCCTGGCAGATCGGTTGGGTTTGGTATTCCACGCAGCGGGCCCATGGACTCGCTTGCCTTTAGAGCTGCCAACCGCCTCGTGGGAAACGCTGACACTGTAGAAGGTTTAGAGATCACTGTGATGTACGTAACCCCACTCATATATGCACACTGGGAAGCTCACATGTGATGTTTTCAGGGGACCTCGCCTAAAATTCCATGTTGCTACCGTAGTCGCTGTGACAGGTGCTCCGACTAAAGTTACTGTGAACAAAGTGGTTGTGCCGATGTGGTCTCGCATAATGGTTCCAGCTGGAGGCATTCTTCAGATTGGTACATGTTCTGGAAATGGGTTCCGCGTGTACTTGGCAGTCAGGGGGGGTTTCCCTAATGCAAGTACCTTTTTTCAACGCTGTAATAATTATCCCTGACCTCCATTCTTAGATTCCACAATATCTGGGGAGCAAGAGCACGTTCGCCGCCTGTAGTATCGGAGGAGTGCAGGGCCGCCCACTCGCTACTGGGGACCAAATCGTGCTAGCTTCCAATTGTGGCCCTTCATCAAGCTCTGAAGCCCAATATCACGTCGACCCGAAGTGGATTCCTGAATATCCCACAGACTGGATTGTATTTTGTGTTTCTGGTCCACAGGGCGATGAGGGCTATGTCACGCCGGAGGGTATCGATGCCTTTTATGAAACCCAATGGAAGATCTCCACTTCGTCCAACCGTATGGGACTTCGTCTCGAGGGAGCAAAGATCAAATGGTCTCGGGAGAATGGCGGCCAGGGAGGCAGTCATCCTAGCAATATTATCGGTGGGCATTTTATTGGTTGCGTTTCTCTGAATGACCTCATGTTGCTATAGACAATGGTTATGCCATGGGTTCGATCAATGGTACGCTCTACACTCATGGTACTGCCTTGAAAACCAACTCATCAACGGATAGTGAACGGTGATACACCTGTCATTCTCACCCATGACGGTCCTTCCATGGGCGGTTTCGTAAGTATGTGAGCTTTCCCGGCCGAACACAGGTTGACGGACAATTTGCCAGCTATGCATGTGCACTATTGTCGAGGCTGATCTGTGGAAATTGGGCCAGCTTCGGCCCGGAAATACCGTGCAATTCCGTCGCATCTCATTAGAGGATGCACGCGGCCTGAATGAACATTGTAATACGTGGCTGGATGCTGTGGAAGGGAAAACGCCTCTCAAGCCGCAGCGTGGAGCGCTGGACTATGTACCTTCTCCCCATTTCAGGTATGATCCCAAACTGGCAGTGTATCCAGCGGATGAAAGCACCGGCCGGCCCGAAGTTGTGTATCGTCAGGTGCGCAGATACTTTGACTTTTTGACCTGAGCCTCATTTCTGCAATAGGCGGGAGATGAATACATTTTGATTGAATTTGGGCCATCAGATCTCGACCTGTCTATTCGTGCCCGTATCCATCTGTTCGAGCTCGAAATCACCAAACAGAGTTGGCCAGCAGGTGCTATACGAAGTCTGGCGCCGTGCATTAGGAGTACAATAGTAAGAGAAGCTGGCCCTAGGTGGCGTACAGATATTAACGAGTCGCATCAGGTCCACTTCGATCCAGCTCTGATTTCTCAGGATGCACTTCTGGACCGGCTCATTCTTGTGGAGAGAGCGCTTCCTGCGACGCTTGGTGACCAGACCTTCCCCAGCCGTGTTCTCCACATGCCTATTGTTCTCGATGATCCATGGTGCCAGGCATGCATCGATGAGTACATGAGAACCACCCGGGATAAGGCAACGTATCTCCCTTCAAATGTGAAGTATCTGGCGGACAACAATGGTCTTGAGGGCGGCTCGAAAGAAGCCCTTCAGCTCCTGATCCAGTCTGAATGGCTTCTTCTCGGCCTTGGCTTCTACCTGGCGTGTAAGTGGCATTCGCGAGCGTACAAGAAGACACGCTGATCCCTCTGCAGGTCCATTCCTTGTGCCAATCGACCCTCGTTGTCGCCTTATTGGAGCAAAGATGAACCCTTCAAGAACAGCGACACCAGAAGGTGCCGTGGGAATTGCGGGTCTTGTGGCCGCGATCTACCCGCTGGCCAGTCCAGGAGGGTATCAACTGTTTGGTGCGTACCAGCGATTCATGGACGATAAATGCTCACTACGCTGCAGGTCGTACTCTATCCACATGGCGTACGTGGGGAACAGGGAAAGGGTTCTCCCGAGAGAAGCCGTGGATTCTCGAGATGTTCGACAGGGTATGTTTGTGCCATGGAATTGATCGGAGTATGAACGGTATCCTATAGATCAAATTCTATCCAGTAACTGTGGAGGAGTATGAGAAGGTAGGGCTCAAGGAGTGAACCATTGCACGTAAACGTCTGACACACTATCTAGCTGCAGAAGCAGGTTGCCGGTGGCACTCACGTGTTCGACGTGCGCGAGGGAGAATTCTCGATGAAGGAATATAACGCGTTTGTCGAAAGCATACGACCAGAGATAGAAGAGTTCAAGCGCAAACAAGCCGAAGGTGTGAAGAACACTGAGGAAAGGTATGCCTTCTTGCTAGCTCTTTGTTCTGTGAGCTGACCGATCGCAGGGAAGCGTTGATCATGCATGAGTGGGAGGAGGAGAAATCCAAGGCTGCACACTTGCACGAGGGGCACCATGCGAGTGGTCATTCCAGTATGTGTTGTTTTTGGGTCCGGGGACTTTGCTGAGAAACGGGGTAGAGGTGAACGATCCGTTCATCCCGTCGAGCATGACCGCAACGTGCTTCAAGGTCAAGATCCAGCCGGGAGATATCCTGCAAGACGCGGATCAAGTCGTCGTCATCCTGGAAGCGATGAAGACCGAGGTACGGTTCTCCCACAGAGACCTGTGACTAGTAACTAACTCGAGCACAGATCGGTGTTACGGTGGGGGATGACTTTGTTGGCAAGAAAGTCAAGGCGGTCTTGGTGGAGCCGGGAGATGCAGTCAGTTCGGGAGACCCTCTGGTGACGGTCGAAGATGCTTAGGTAGACAAAGGGCAGAGCCGAAACGTGACCAGCGATGTTCTTAAATTTAATCGAATTCCGTTGCTTTATGCAGGGCGGTTCCAGCGTCTTTATTGTACCAGGCATCTGAAGAAAACGACGTACATATCTAGCCCGACTTGTTGACCTCGTCAGCCCTAACACCGTTACAAAGAGAACAGACACTAGTACCCTTGTTCTCTGGCATTTGCTCACTAGAAAGGCACCATGAGCCGTCATACTGACATCTGAGATACTAAACTGATAACGAACCACAAATTCTTGTGACCTTGAACTTCACCTGAGCGAATCGCTAGCCGCCATCTATGGACATTATTGCAAGATTATTCAATAGTACAGATGGGAGAGACAACGACTGGTGCGAGTTCTGAACCTCTACGGTTCTACGGAGAATTTGAACCGAAGGAACGACTTTCCCTCGTCCCAGGACATGGATTCGTTCACACCAGCATAGCCGACGCCAAGTGCTAGGGCACGTAATCCCACCCACCACTGTTCAGGGTCATGGAGGCTGTCGCCGGCCAGCAGATGCTGTAAGCGTTGGAAAGGCTTGTCTTTGCGAACGTGTTGTGCGAGCAGCGGATGATGCAGCCTTGCTAGGGTAACGGCGAAATCGGTTTCGGCCGGTCCAAGTTCGTTGGATCCGTTGTAGAATGCCCTCACATCGATTAGAGCGTCGGGGGCAGCAAACGCCTCCTGGGCCGACGTGAACCATGTCCTGACATGCACGTCAGTTCCTATCTGGCCGACGGAGCGTCTATTTACCCGGTCAAATCTATGAGCCATGCCTTGTCGCCGTGAATGAGTATGTGATCACCCTTGGCATCTGGATGACACATGAAGAAGGGACCTTTCGACCTCCGTTCATCTGGATAGAGGATATGCACAATGTCTGCAATCATGAGAAACGACAGCTCTACCTCCTCGCCGTCTTTGATGCGCCGAATCTTGTTCGCAATATTGTGCAAGTGGAAGTCTTTGATGGAATCGAATGCAGGACCGAAGTGAGCCTTATTGTCACCCATAAAGTGCAGATGTTCCATGCAAGCCGATGGTCCGATCAAGAATTGCTTGCCGTCAAAATATAGGGAGCCGACTTTGTTCATTTGAAGTCTGGAGAGTTGAATCATGAGCCTGGCCAACTGGGTAATCCAAGATTTATACGCGGCGCCAGCGAGATCAGAGATCCAGTAAGTCCGACCAGGCAGCCACTGTATAAAAATGCATGAGGCGTCGAGTGAATCGTCGGCGGTCGCGACATATCCATGAACAAGGGGTACTGATACGCCGTGTCGATGCTGTCAGTCCATCGTGGCCGCTTCTGAAACAACAATACGCTTGCGCAGCTGATCTGGTGGAGACATTGCATTGGGTATGGGGATGCGAGCCAGTAGTCTGGTGCCGTCCGCGTAGTACAGAGGAAGATGATAGTGATTTCCACCCATGAGATGTCGAGGCGCCTCACCGGACGACACCTCCCTTTGACAGCAGATCCCATTTCGCAATCGGGCCCCCATATCTGTCAAGGCTTCGATCTGTGTTGAGCCGAGAAGGGCGGCAAGGACTTGATTGCTGGGTGTGATTGACTTTTGCCCACACATGAGACTTCCTTCCAAGCACCAGCCAGAAAAACAACGTACCACTGGTGTGCAAGCATGCTTGGGCTTGTGTATCTTGCAAAAGTGCGCAAGACAATCGAAGCAGAATCCGAAGGCCTGAGACACACTCTCCTTACAACCCGTCACTTCGCAAAGCCACCATGTACACTCGTTGGGAGATGCGTCAGACATCAATGGCGAGTGTCAAGAGGAACGCCCTCTACGAGCACCCTTGCTGATCGCGTCTCGTAGGGGGTATATCGATAAACGCGTCGAGGGTACTGTGGCTCTCCACAACAAAAGTGGGAGCCGAGACATCTGTGTTTGATTCTATCCACCTTTCACAGTGTCGGAGGCTGATACAGTGAATGGGGAAGTGACGTGATTGGGTCGGGTGCAAATCAGCTGAGAAAGCCGCCGAAGCAAGGGTTAGGGTTAACTGGTGCTCACTACCCTGGTTGACGTTCTCCTCTCTTATCCTCCCTAGCATGGATGTATCCCCACTTCAACGCAACATTCGACCTCACCACAGCTTGGTTGATGGGAAATACAATCAAAGTCCTCCCAGATTCGTTGGTGCTACCATACGAAATGGATGGGATGGGTTCGCCAGCACCTAGCTTGACCGACGTTACATTTTTGGCCCCACTCCGTATTGGGCCTGCTCACTGGGCACAGGTTTGGCAAGCTGAAGTGGACATTCCACGGACCTCTGCAACAAACACACACTCTTCCCGCGTGGTCGTAAAATTGTACGACCCTGCGTGGTTCCCCGAAGGCGATTCTGATTCGAGCGCCATGGCGGAAGACATTGCTGGTCGGGAGGCGTGGGCATACGCGACCGGTCGGGAGCTTCAAGGCACTCGCCTTCCTGAATCCTATGGCTTCTACTGGGTGCGCATCGGCATCCTATACTCTCCGCCATCATGCGAGACTGACAGACAACCAGTTTAACCTGAATGGCGGGCGCGTCGTCTGTGGGCATGTGATGGAGTTTCTGGATGGTGATCCTCCTGAACGGGACTGGAGATCTGTCAAGGCAGGCACGTGGGATGAGGGAGAGGACAGACGAATGGAAGAGGTTCGTCGCTGCGCAGCGTGTGAGCTTCGTTTGCTGGACCTGCTGATGCACATATCCAAGATGGCTGACATGATGGATGGTCTTAATGAACTACACAACCATCTTATCTGCCATGGCGACCTTTCACGGCGGAACGTTCTTATGAGACGCGTGCCTGTGCCTGTACAAAAAGGGACGAAGGCATGTCGATTCTGTTTCTTGGATTTTGGCAGAGCGAGGAAGATTTCGCTCGTTCCGTGTTTTAGTACTCGAGATATTGCGAGATATGGAGATGATGCCTATGGCGTGTTTTCATGCCTTGGGGGAATAGAAGATTACCGTCGGCTAGTCCGGTGGATCATGGATAATCGCCAACAATGTGAATGGGGTCGTGTCTTTCAAGACGCCAGGCGGATGAACACGCTAGTGCAAGGTGCTGTCGTAATGGAGAAAACATACCGCACCAGGGCGGGCGTAGATTTTATGTAGGCATGTCAAATAGTAATGGATCGCATGCTTCACACTTCTTCAGTATGAGACTGGGCATAAGCAGGTTCAGCAAGTGTGACGATCGAGAGCAGCAGCGAGCTCGAGCGGCATGTCAACGAAGAAAATCATCTGCTTTCCTTTCCCGCCGCTCGTATCACCAGTCTTCACAATGAACGGGCAGAGCCGAAACGTGACCAGCGATGTTCAATTTAATTCAATTCCGTTGCCTTAGGGCGTTCCAGCGTCTTTAATGTACCAGGCATCTGAAGAGGACGAAGTACATATCCATATCTAACCGGATTTGTTGACCTCGTTCACGACGTCGCGCACTGCGATAGCCAAATCGACAGCGCCAGGGGTGTCGCTGTGGACGCAGACGCAGACCTGGTCCATCTCAGGCAGAGGGATAAGGCTTCCGTTAGTAGTAGTAATCTTGCGCTGGGTGAGGGCTCTCGTAGTCTGGGAAAGGGAAAGAAAGGGAAAGGGTCAGATTACGTGCTCGCTTCGGCGGCTAAGGGGCTTACGATTTCCCGGACTTGCTCGACCGTGCGAGGAGGTGCGTGCCTGCCGATGACCAGCTTGCCTTCGGGGGTATAGTCCCGGTCGGCATAGTCTAGCATAACGATGAGCGAAGCCAACAGATACTCCGAACGGAGGGCGTACATTCGCCAATGAAAGGCACCCCGGCGGCTTTAGCAGCTTTGTCATGCTCCGTCCCTGCCATACCGACGAAAGCGACGTTGTACAGTTTGCATACTTCCATGACCGCCTTTGCGAGCGCGGGGTCGCGGGCACACATGCCATATGCAGAACCTTGAACCCATTAGGCAGGTTCTATTCCCAGGAGTAGAGCATACCGTGCGGCTTGATATGGTGCATCTCTACACCGTGGAGCTTGAGGAATCCAGAAAGGGCGCCAACTTGGTACAACATGCAGTTCTTGAATTCCTCGGGGGTCATCGCCATTTCCCGCCTTCCAAAGCCCTGCCGATCGGGAAGAGAAGGATGGGCGCCGATCCTGATGTTCTTAGACTTTGCCAGTTCGGTCATCTCGTCCATGATCTGTGCGGGGTGAGTATGATCCGGTGAGGCGAGGGAGGGGAAGGCGTGCCATAAAGTCTGCACCGTGGAAGCCGCAAGCGATATGTGCGAGGTCGACATGGGCGATGAGGCCTTCCTCGTCTCCGAGCTGTGGATGGGGTCACTGATCTATCCAGGCAGGGAAAGGAAGACTGGAAGTATGTGTGTACCTTCCAGATGCCGTATCCTTCCTGTGGGGTTGTGAGCAGAAGTGTGAAGAATGAGAGAGATGCATACCCCCATGTCTGCGCCAAAGATGTGGTTCGGCATGTTGGTGCTAGGTCGAGGGGAATAACGTGCGGGAAGCGTTGGAGTAAGGAAATGTTGCTGAAGGGTATTAAATGGGATGGAGTAGATTGCATATCGTCGGCTAAGTTATGGTCGTATCGGGATCTATGCGGGACCCTAGAGTGTTTTACAGCGATTGAGTTCGCTTGTGAGATTGTGCGTCATGTGGATAAGTGTGAGATTATTGGATGTTCACTTTGTTGTTATTATGTGCAATGTGAGAAGTTTCCGGTGAAGGGATGAAGAGATGTGTATGGAGGGTTGTGGGTGGGTGATGTCGCGTGATGAAGAGGGCGCTGTCCCTAGTGCCGATTCCCATGGAGGTCTGTGTTGGCTAGGCAGAGTACGAAGCGAGGAAGCGTGCTTGCGGGCGGTCTGCGGGTAGGAGATTTTGATGTGATGAAAGTGATTGTTGTGTGTGATGGTTGATAGAGCGGGAGAATGACCAAATAGGGTTAAGGTGGCTATGATTGTGACCCGTGATCGGCCGATATGGCCTGGACTGACCGTATTTGCCCGTGAGAGAGCGGAAGGGTCGGATCCTCATTTGCTGTGGGGTGTATGCATTCGAAGAAGACTTTGACTTCTGGTGTGAAAGGGTTAAAATAACCCACCCTTCAACTCACTCCCTCTCTCTTCACTCTCTTTCAGTTCCTCTTGGTCAGTCTATCCCTCTCACCGCCGACACTCCCCCCCACCTCAACCCCATCAAGGCAACGACATCTAGCTGCAGGTCATCATGCTGTCCGTCTTACCACAATTAATCCCTTCATCTCCATCTCCCACTTCCCTATCCTCATCCCCTACTTCCCCTCTCGTCCTAGGTTCAAAACATCTTGACCTCACATCCGTACGTCTCTCCCTCTCTCCCCCTCGCACCCCCTAACTTCCAACAGTGCGCACAACAAGAAGCCATCGACAGGTTCTCAAAACTCGTCCTTCGCAGTATCAACACCCGTCGCTCAGTAAGGTTATACTGTTCCTTCCCTACCGAAACCCGTACCTCCCTTCCTCTTCCCATCCACCACCTAACCCACTCACTCCCGTTCTAGTGACCGACCTCGAGGATCTCCAAGAACTCCGCGCTCGTGCGTTCGACACAATCCACGCCGTCGTAGCACGTCTCCGTTCTCAACATATCTATGCTACTTATTCGCTCTATCCCTCCCCCGAGCCACTCGTAATCCTCAGCGCTGGAAAACAGCTCTCGGGTCTCACAGGGCTCGCTCCGAGGTACGCTATCCTCACTTCCCTTGCATAGTGTCCTCGTCTGACACTTCCCTCCAGCCAAGAACCTCTTGTGGGCGATATCGGCGTCCCAGTGCTCGTCATCTCATAACCCCCTCACCTCCCCCACATCAAGCGCTCCGGTTCCAAGCTCATCTCTGCACTTCATACCATGTACTTTTCCGTATCCCACAAACCGAACTAAAGTAAAACACATGCAATACATCTCTGACAATTGTTGTGCTACCCGTGTCCCCTGTGTCGTCCACAGCGCCCCGTTGTTGACCACTCTCGGTAGTGCCAAATCGGGCTGATCGCCTGATCGCCCCTCCAATCTGAGGAGGCAGACTTCTATTGCTTTCCCTATTCCTTGCGCATGCCAGTCGCACAAGGCAAGACGTTCCGCGACACCTGCCACTCAAGGCAGGTCGTGTGACCCTTTAGCCACACAGATGCGTGGCGTCTCCTAACCTCGCCAGCAAGCTCTTCCTGTACGTCCACTCCACGACGTACACGTAAGTGCACGTACGACCGCGGAGTGTGCACTCAGGCTGGGCGCAACAATTTCCCGTGACTGGAAAGGGGAATGCATAGAGATCGGTCAGATCGGGCGTCCTTCGCTATGCATGCTGACTTTGGTATCCCTATTCGGGAGAATCACACATTCAGTACCTCCCTTTTTACGGAGAACCGTCCGCAATGCGCTACTCGGCAATACGCGGCGACTGTCCCTGTATCACTCGAAAGACGATAAAATGTACATCCCCCGCCCGGCTCCAACAGCGACTGCGACTCGGACTCGGACTCTCGGACTACTCTTCCCCGACCCACGCGTCTGCCAGATCCCCGATCCACGGTAGTCGATACCGCGCCAGCCCGCCCTGGTTCGCGTCGCGATATGCGCGCCAGCTTTTCCCAACCATCAACCATCAGCCATCAGCATCAGCCACGCTCTCCCAAGCAGGGACTTACGCAAGGTAGGATATAAATAGGTATTCGAGTATGCAGTAGACCCAGCGGAGCCAGAGAGGGGCGCGGCTCAGGCCCAGGATGAGGTTGAGGATGTAGAGGGGGGAGATGGCGAGTGCGGATTGGTATGCTGCCGTTTGGTTGTTTGTGGTTAGTTGGTTGGTTGGTTGATGGGCGGGAAGGAGAAGGAGAGGGAAGGGGACGTACCGTGGAATCGGATATAGTCGTTTGTCGTCTCCAGGATAAGGATTACGAGTGCTACAACGCATGAGTTTGAGCAAGCGCCGGGGCGGGCGGATGAAGACGTACCGCTAATCGGACCAAGCAGGTATACCCAAGCAGCAACAGCGTCTACCCTCCAAGAAAACCTCGTTTCCCACTGGTTCTGGTTTCCCCCTTCCCCTCCACTCCCACTCCCCGTCCCGTTCCCCGTACCCTGGCCAGAGACAGCAGCTCCAAACGTAGGCACAGCGCCGGATTGGTAGGAGGTGTTCGTGTTGGTGTGAGCGTTCACGTTGACGTTATAGCTGCTGCTGCCACTGGCTTGGGTGGGGAACCAAGGTCGGGCTAGTCGGGACTTTTGCTTGCCTTTGCCTATAGGCTGGGCGGGGTCGTCCGGTGCTGGCTGGTAGGGTGCGAAGGACATGATGGGGAGTGTTGGGTAAGCAGTAGGAATGGGGAACCGCGCGTTCCTACCATGTACGCACTAGGGACTGAACTGATGCGGGTGGCTACGCAGGGGCTGTGCACGGAGCATCTTATTCCGGAGTACCTCCGCGGAAGCAGTTCCACCTGGGCATTGGCATTGGCACTGACCAGTCCACTTTTCTACTTGCTCAACATCTTCGACGTCCTACTCGCTGTCTATCTTCGATACCGGCAACCAAAATGGTGAGAATTGCGTTCTGGTTGTCTTCTGCGGTGGGAGGGGTGGGCTCGGTGTGGGGTGTTGAGCGGAGATGGGTGGATGCATCTTGGATGGGATGGATGGCATGTGTAGAGGATGGTTGGCACGTATCAGAGGATGGTCTTGTGCACTCTGCTGGAGCTCCCCCTCTCCGCTGTATGACGTTCCACGCACAAGTATACTGACTTCCCCCCTCTAGTCCGACGCACCGGTCACAATCCGCACTCGGCAATTCATCACCAACCGACTCCTGCAACGCAAGCAGTTCGTCGTGGACATCCTCCACCCTTCGCGGCCAAACGTGTCCAAGTCCGACCTCGGGGAAAAGCTCGCCCAGATGTACAAGGCTGATGCTGGCCGGGTAGTCACTTTCGGGCTGAGGACACAGTTTGGAGGGGGGAGGACGACGGGGTTCGCGCTGATTTACGATTCGGAGGCGGCGCAGAGGCAGTTTGAGCCCAAGTTCCGGCTTATCCGGGTGAGTGCATTAGGTTTTTGAAGGGCGTTGGGTTGATTGGGGATCTAGGCGGGTATGGCGACTAAGACTGATAAGACGTCGCGTAAACTGCGAAAGGAGCGTAAGAACAGGGCGAAGAAGGTCAGTCTACTGCCCTCCACCCAGCACTCTAATCTCACCCTGTTCCCCGTTCCCAGGTCCGTGGTACCAAGAAAGCAAAGGCAGCCGAGCCGCCAAAGAAGGGCAAATAAGCGTCTCGCTGTCTTTCCTCGGTCGTCATCCTGCGCTTACGGTCACGGTTGGGTCCATATTGGAGCATCTTCGGCGGTTAGCATTGCACAAAACTCATGCACGCTGTTTAGTTCGTGTGCGATGTATCTTAGTCCATGCTATGCCTATGCTACCTATTCATGCGTTGATCATGATATTGAATTTCTTTGCAATGGTGATGTGCTGTCGTAAGGGTGAATTGGAACAGTCATGTGCTCGCCACTGGCGCTGAGACGCGACGCGCCCAGAATTCCCCACAACCAACCATGTACATCTTGGAGCACAATGCCTCCATAATATCTACTCACGATGCACGATGAATCTATCCTCAAAGTCCGGATCACCAATGTCGACTACTCGCAACAAGTGCCAGGACCGCTCGACAGGACCGAATCGATATTCGCGACGCTGAACAAGGTCCCCGTGCTGAACGTCTTTGGTCACACCTCTGCCGGGCAGAAGGCGTGTGTGCATATTCATAATGTCTTCCCTTATCTGTATATCGAATACAAGGGAGAGCTTGACCCCGGGTCTGGTGCGCTGCACTTCTCTCTACGGCGTACAACCTCTGAAGCCTTCCTAGTGAACAAGTTCATTAACCGGCTAGGTCGAAAGCTGAACCACGCATTGACCTTGGTCCTTCGCCGCAACCCCTACGTACAGAACACACCCCAGCACATCGTAGCCATCCTGCCTGTCAAAGGCGTGCACTTCTATGGTTTCCATCATCGGCGCTCCATCTTCCTCAAGATAATGTTCTCCGATCCTCGGCTGATCCGCAAAGTCCAGCTCCTGCTCGAGAGCGGCGCGATATGCGAGAAGGCGTGGCAGACGTACGAGAGCCATGTGGACTACAAGCTGCAATTTATGTGTGACTTTAATTTGTATGGCTGTAATTGGCTCGAGGTTGCAGACTGCAGGTTTCGGGAACCGTTGCCCGGTGCGCACTCTAGCCTGGCCTTTAGCGACTTGACCTAACATCTCTTCAGAGCCTCCGGAGTACGACATCCCAGTATCATCGATCGCACCTCATATGATACCCTGGAACTCTGCGAACACGCCTCCAGAGCTGATGCATTCCGTCCAGCCCATCCCTGTTCGCTCAACAAGGTCCTACAACGTTCTCGAACTAGATATCTGCGCATGGGACATCCTCAACCGTCATGCTCTCACTGCACGTCCTATCGCGTCCCGACTCGCTCCCCCGTTCTCCGGTGCTGGGAACCCTGATGAGCTCTTCGTGCACAGCGTCCGTGAGCTGTGGGAAGACGAGCGCCGCCGACGCAGCGCAAAAGGTATGGATCCCACACCCCCAAGACCTAAGGACGCTACCCGGACAATCGATCCAGAGCGAACCCGATGGGTCGCGTCGGAGAGGTTTTGGGCAGAGGTAGATGCCCGTATCGACAGGGAGAAAGACAAGATCGGGAGGGTCGGTCCGGACGACGAGCTCAAGGTTATACCCTGGGAAGCTTGGCTCATGACGCCATTCGAGAGTGTGGAGGCGTTGTTCCCCCGAGAACACCAGCGACAGCGCCAACGAAGACGGGAAAAACAAACCGAAGCTGTCAATGCTGCTGAAGACGATTGGAGTCAGCGTGGTGATGTTGAGAATGAGGCTGAGGATGACGCGAAATGGGCTGGTAGCCAATTGCTTCAGCGCGCTGTTGAAGAAGCGCAGGGTGTTGAGGATGAATGGATCCAGGATCCGGAACGGCAGGTTGAGGAAGAGGAGGAATGGGAAAGGTATTATTCAGATTTTGAGTGTGGCTACAGCATCTTGACCCGAACTCTGCAGCGGTTACGATCCACCTCCGGCCCAACCGAGAACACCCCTGAAATCTCAACGGACGGCGCCAGTTCGGTGAGTGGTGATTCTTACTACGCACGAATGTCTTCTCAACGACAAGCAGCTCCAGGTCAGGAACTCCGACAAAGAGTGGAAAAGTTTCTCCTGTAAATGGCGACAAGGGCAATGGTACGAATAAGATGCTCCTTCCTGATCACGTCTAATCTGTTCTTTAGGTCATGCTAAGCGTCCCAATCTATTTGCTACGCCCAGCCGTGATCACACGCCATATCGATCTTCTCCTCTGAAGAACGGTGTGCGAACCATTGAGCAAGAAGAACGAGAAGGAAGCATCCCTGTACTCCCTCAGAATTCGCCAGACCCTTGGATTACTTCCCCTGAAAAGGAGATGACTCTCAAAAGGGGTGTCCATTTTGATGGCGAGGAGAGACCACCCAAACGGGCACGTATTGAAGAAGCTGATAATGCTGTGGTCGACCCTTGGATAGTCTCTCTCGATAGCTTCACCAGCTCGGAGGATGCGGCGCCTACCTGTTCCCCAGTGGCTACTCAGAGAGGTGAGCACTAGACATTCCAGGCTTCTACAATATCTCTTATTCTACAAGAAGATCCAACAAAGCCCCTCAGCTCGTCAGCTTACACGTACGGCTTCATGCCTCCGACACGCGTAGATGTCATGGAGACTCTTTATCCTCACAAGATGTACACCGATCCGCACTATTCAAATCGCTTCGACGTGCCAGAGAGAGCTAGAGAGTATGCTGGGAGGATGTTCAAGCTTGCCTGGGGTGGACGGGTGTCGGAATTTGAGACTACAACTCAAATATTTGACATGCTGTCGGATGAGATCGTGCTGCCCACAATTACATCGGCTTGGGAGTTTGCAAGTCGTGCCCCGACTCACCGCGAAGTCGAGAATTGGTTAGCTGACCCTGCCAACATGGACAAGGAGCTGACGCATGCCATGAAACGACGAAAGCAAGCACAATCACAGGTGTGATATTCTTTCTTTACACCCAATACCGTTTATTCATCCATTCCAGCTTGATGGAATGACACCAGCCAAAGGTTACGGAATACGCGCGACCATGCATAGACCATCAGAGTTTTCCACCAGAGAGAAACAAAATATGTCGGTTCTTGCTGTGGAAATATTTGGTGAGAACTTCCTAGATCTGTCTCGATTTAACCACTAATAATCAGTAGCACGATCTCGAGGACGACTTCTTCCCGATCCGGCCGAAGATGAAATCTCTATGGTGGCATTCGCATTCCAGGACGATGCGGGCGAAGGTGGCCGGGACACATATGAAGTTGGCTTGATACTTGTGGCAAATCCTCAAGTGGATGCGACCCGCCTTCGTGACCTAGCTAGCGCAAATGTCGATATGGTCGATGCTGAAAGTGAACTGATCAATAAACTCATTGATCGGGTTTTGGACTGGGATCCAGACGTTCTCACTGGATGGGACGTGCAGTCGTCTTCCTGGAGCTACCTTGCTGGTCGTGCGAAACAGTACGGTATGCACATAATTAACATAGGGTCACCATGCTCATCGACATATCCAGGTGTGGATCTCAGCGATCAGATTTCCCGTGTCATGTCACCCCCTAGCCGCAATGGGCAAGATCGTTGGTCCCTAACACATACTTCAACTTTCAGAGTATCTGGGCGTCATGTCATCAACGTTTGGCGACACTTACGAAAGGAATTAACACTGACTAGTTACACATTCGAGAATGTGGCTTTTCAGGTACTGAAGCGACGGTAAGACTATGATCGCGCTGTATCATGATGACACTTATGTGATGATAGAATGCCTCTATACCTCGCAAGCACTCTCACTCAATGGTTCCATAGTCCTGTGCCTTTGCACACTGCACAGCTAATTGACTACCTGTTGGAGCGAACTGTGACAGTCATTGAGATTTTAGATGAGACGGAACTAATAACAAAGACTGCGTGCGTACTTTTGGTATTCGCCGCAGAAGCTCCATCTAACGGACCGAGCAGAGAATTTGCTCGTGTCTTTGGTGTAGAATTCTTCTCTGTTCTAGAGCGTGGCTCTCAGTACATGGTCGAATCTTTTATGTTTCGGATCGCCAAACCAGAGAATTTCGTCTTGATTTCCCCTTCAAAGGAACAGGTAAGTCGGTACTAATCAAGACGTGCTCAGTGTTCAACATTGTTAGGTCGGACAACAAAACGCTGCTGAATGTGTTCCCCTCATTATGGAGCCGCAGTCCGCATGCTATAAAGGGCCTCTCGTTGTGCTCGACTTCCAATCGTTGTACCCCTCGATCATGATCGCGTACAATTATTGCTATTCTACTTGCCTGGGAAGGGTACGCAATTTCAAGGGTAAAAGCAAGTTCGGTGTTACGGACCTTAGCATACCCCCCGGCGTTCTGGAGCTGTTGAAAGACGATATCACAAGTAAGCATTGTGCACAGGACTACCATGCAACTCTAACGCTGCCCAGTATCTGCTAACGGCATGATGTTTGTCAAAGACCACGTGCGCCGAAGTCTTCTAAGCAAAATGCTTAGCGAGCTGCTGGACACGCGCGTTATGGTTAAACAAGGCATGAAGACAGCGAAGGGCGACAAGGTGATTAACCCCGGTTTTGGTTTCGGCGCCTCCTCACGTGATTCTTTAGTCCCTTCTGCGCCTTTTGAATGCCAGACAGCTGTCGCTGAAGTACATTGCCAACGTGACTTACGGCTATACCAGCGCCAGCTATTCGGGCAGGATGCCTGCGGTTGAAATTGCAGACGCTATCGTTCAATCCGGTCGAGAAACCTTGGAGAAAGCTGTGCATCTGATCAATAGCACTGCTAAGTGGGGAGCGAAGGTTGTCTATGGGGATACGGATTCTCTGTTTATTTATCTTCCTGGGCGCACCAAGGATGAAGCGTTCCAAATTGGTCATGACATGGCCGACACAATTACCTCGCTCAATCCGGCTCCAGTCAAGATGAAATTCGAAAAGGTTTATTTACCCTGTGTGCTCATGGCCAAGAAACGCTATGTGGGCTTCAAGTATGAAAACCCCGATGACGTCCAACCTGAATTCGATGATAAAGGCATTGAAACCGTACGCCGTGATGGTTGTGCGCTCACTCGAAAGATGGTGGAGGCATCCTTGAGGTATATTCACCGTTCCATCTAAGAGCATCCCTCACATACATTTCGTAGGATCCTGTTCAACACGCAAGATTTGAGCGAAGTGAAGGAGTATTGCCGAAGACAATGGTCCAAAATTCTTGAGGGTCGACTACCCATCCAGGATTTCATTATAGCCAAAGAAGTTCGGTTAGGGACATACATGTGAGAATCCTGCCAGAGTTAAGTCTGCGTTCGGCTAAACAAGAGCAGCGAGGGCGCCGCACCTCCGCCTGGGGCAGCTGTTGCGGCCATGAAGGCAGTCAAAGATCCTCAAGCCGAGGCACAGTACGGCGAGCGCGTCCCATATGTCATTATGCGAGGCGAGGGCCGTCGTTTAGTTGATCGAGCCATCAGCCCAGAAGTTTTACTGCGGAATCGGTATGAAATTTCCTGCCATCTGAGAAACCTGATCTGATACCTTTTCGCAGTGACCAGCGAATAGATCCAATCTACTATATAACCCGTCAATTGATCCCCCCTCTCGAACGCATTTTTAACCTTGTGGGAGCCGACGTCCAAGCCTGGTACGATGACATGCCGAAGAAGCTCCGCGCCAATCGGGCCGACTCTGTTGTCGTTATCCCCAGACGAGACAAGGACGTAAAGACATCCAAAGCAAGCGCTTCTACAATAGAACGGCACTTCCGGAGTAATCTATGCCTTGTCTGCGAGGAACAAACGGACTCAGGTGAGTGGTCCAGCCTTCACCGAGTAATATGTTGCTAAGAATATTCAGCTGTCTGCCCTTCGTGTCTGCGGGACCTGCCAACCACGCTTTACTCGCTCAACACGCGCATGCACCTAGGCGAGCAGCGCCTACGTGACACACAACAAATCTGCGCCAGCTGTACTGCGTCCCCGCCCGGGGAGCCAATTCGATGCGAGTCTCTGGACTGCGAATGGTTGTACGAACGTGTCAAGGCTGAGGAAGAAGCATCGGCTTTTGCTGAGATCCCCAAATTAATTGAACAGTTGTGTGTTTAGGAGATATATAGTCATGTATGGTCAGAAACTTGTTGTACTGCATCATTGTACCTCTTACGGCAAGGACATTCAGTGTGCATTAGGACCTAGAGGAGGAATGCAAGGATTATGCTTTTCAAACCATTCTGATGCGACCCTACAGAACATGAAAGCTTCATCAGAACCTTCCAAGCCGGGTTATGGAAAAGCGCATCGGGCAACACCGAACGGTGTTCCGTTCACTCAGTGCCAGCAAGCATGTCATTGCGCTCTTTTCATACATTCGGAAGTTCTACACAGACTCATAAGCCCCCGGTGCCGCCCCACTCGGAGGGGGCGGGTGAGTCTGAGGCGGCCCCGGCCTGGGAGCGTTCCCAGCAGGCGCATCCACATACGCCCCGCCAGCCTCGCCGCTATCGAGCGAGTCGTACCCCGCTTGACGGGTAAAGCCGCCCGGCATCGTCCATACTGTGGTAGGTCAGCTTGGCGTGCAAAGAAGACGAAGTGCGTACTGGTCGACCCCCCGATATCGCCTGTCCCAATACGGGAGGCGAGGTAGTCGCCCCTCTGCCTCAGAGAGGCGATGACGGTAGACAACGTTGGTAGCTGTGGGTGACAGCGTCAGTCTCTGAGTAGGTGAGGAGGGGAAGACGAACCTTCATAACGAGTATGAGGATAGAGAGTAGTCTGACGAGGATATGTTGTCCATTCGTGATCATCCATATGAGGTCCCAGACCAAGCTGACGGCCAACATTCCGGCGAACTGCGCAGGTCAGTCCCTGGCTGCCCGAAGAGAGTTGGACGTACCAAACGCAGGGGCTCGTTAGCGGTAGTCTGGTCGATGGCGTATACTCCGAAGAGGAACATTGCGAGGTTGTAGGGAGGTGCATGGAATGCTGCTGTTGCGAAAGTGAGGCCCTGGAGTAGGATGAGCGTGTGTTGGGAGACAGAATATGGACGTACTGTCTGGAGTTGAAGGAGAGAACGCGCGTCCAGCTGGAATGGGATTGACATCTTGCGTGACTGCTGATCTCGATTACTGGGCAATGAAGTATGCTACGTCGTGGACGTCGTCGCCGTTGGAAAAGAAGCTGCGGCGCTGCGGGGAATGGCAACGATGATGATGAACAGTGAACCCTGTGGCGTTTACAATATAAACACTACAACCCAAGTACATTTCCCTTTGTACATTTCATTCATAAACATTGCAAAAAGATACTTTGCATATCACTCATTCACCCGCTTTCTGGAATACTGACGCCCCTTTGTTCGTCTTATGCTCATGCACAACACCCGCCCACTCAGCGATCAACACGCCGCCCACAGCAGACCGAGGGGTCACAAAGATCTTCACCCCTTCCTCCGTCTTGATATTCTGCTCAACAGCCTCCCCATCAGGATCGGCATCGCCTAGGATCGCGCGCACCTCGGCGCGGGTAAACCACCGCGCGTCTTCTAGCTCGTTGTCGAGGTCGAGCCGGATCCCAGCACGGATATCGGTGCTGCTCGCTATAGAGGCAGGCAGCTCAGCGCGCGCATAACAGCCGAGCATGAGGTTAGCAGGATAGGGCTGCAAGGGGTGAGAGATGGACACTGGGTAGGGAAGAGGAAGAGGCGTACCCAGGGCTGGGACGAATGATACCGAACATGACTGACCACCATCCCCGCTTCTTCGAGCATCTCCCGGCGGACAGCGTCCTCCGCGCTCTCTCCAGGCTCCCAGAATCCAGATAGGACGGAGTAGAATCCTGTTCCCTTGTTGAGCCATGCATCTGTCTGAAGCAGGAAAAGTACCCTTTGGCCAGGGCTTGTTCCTCCCCAGCAAGAGCTCTTCTTCCCCTGGCACGGTGGGCGACTCGCGTACGACGGCGATGATGACCACTCCGTCAGTACGAGGGAAAGCATAGTTCTGCAGGCCTTTCCTGCATGTCCAATCAATACGAGATGAGGAGTATAAGGCGGTACGAACCCAGATGGGCAGGCTTCGCCATTGACGGGCGTCTTATTCGTCGACCAAGGCAAGTTTGTCAAGCAGCCTAACTTCCATCCTCCCCACTAGGCCAGTCAGCTCACATTCTCGGTAACAGCACTTACTCACAAGTGAATACTGTTCACCCCCACAGCCAGGACAGAACCTATTCCTCCCATTCCAGTCCACCATCGTCCGACCTACCGAGAAGAGTGAAGCGTCCACAGCATCATACGTGAGTGCAGCAGGCCGTGGCTCGCTCCACTTAGGCGTCTCCAACCGCAGGCTGTCAACCCATTTCTCATCGCTAGCAGAAGTGTCCACAGCCCAGTACGGCACGCCCTTGATCTCCTCATGCGTGTGGATCTGCTTCGCACTAGAAGAAGGGAGTAAGCGGGCACCTTCATCCTCCAACACACCGAGGAAGACCAGGCTGGCCCCGTTCTCCCTAAACCGGTATCCATCAGTCCACTTGTCCTTCTCCGCCTGCTCTCCGGCCTTGCCCTGGCCAAACCAAGGCTCACTGCCGATGAGAGCCCTTACGCTCTCAAGCTGGAGGTAGGCAGGCTTGCCCCCTGCGAGCAAAGGCCGGCCTTGGTGGAAAGGGAGGAAGAGGGAGCGAGGGTGGGTGATGCAGGTGTTGAGGAATGGGCTGGAGGTCCGGAGCCAGCCAAGGCGGTTGAGCGGCGTGTGGGAGTAGAAGTGGACGTAGCTGGCCATACCATGGGATGGTTAGTTGAACTGTTTACTCTAGTAGTTGAGACTTACTTGTCGGCCATATGTGCGAATGTCGACTGAGCTGCAGTCCTTACGGAAGGAGAAGTGGAGAACAGACGTCGAGCAGCAACACCAGGCCAAGCCCAGCGTACAAGACTTACTACACTCATGTTGCTGTCACTTGCCTCACTCGCATGTTTAGATATACCGAAAGTGCCCTTTTATGAAGAATTGAAATGAACGAAATACGGAAGGCAACTCCCGGTCGACACTTGTAGTTTGATCATGAGACTCGAGAACAACTTCTCCGCGGACGTCCTTGTTGGCGAAAGAATTATTATTCAGGAAAGAGTTTATGAATGTAGAAAAGAAGAGAACAACCTACACCGAAGGGTACTTCGATTATTCCATCTACAAACCATTCTAGTTGATACCTTCCAACCCATCTAATTGACTAAACGATACAACACTCTTCCCCACCCATCTCATCTCACATATTAGCCATGTTCCCCGCCGCCCATTCAGAAATCAACACGCCAGCAATCGCCGTCCTCGGCGGTACACGAACTTTCATCCCCTCCTCCGTCCTGACCGTGCTCTCGCTCACAGCGCCATTCGCAGGCGGCGCCTGGCGGATGATCGTACCGTCCGGATCGCCCAGGATGGACCGGATCTCAGCCCGCGTGAACCAGCGCGCGTCTTCGAGCTCGTTGTCTAGGTCTAGCCGGATGCCCGCGCGGGGGTTCTGAGTGTCTGACGCTGCTGAAGTGGGTACCTCAGCACGGGCGTAGCAGCCCATCATCAGGTTGGCGGGATAGGGCTGGAGAACGTTAGCTATCCAGAGCAGCATGCATACCCAGACGGTGAGGACGCACCCATGGTTGAGAAGAATGATATCGCACGTAACCGACGACGATGCCACTCTCTTCGAGGATCTCCCGCCTCACCGCATCCTCGACGCTCTCCCCAGGCTCCAAGAACCCAGCCAAGGTAGAGTACATTCCTGACATCCCGTAAGCCTCCTCCCAGAGCACTCGCGTTGGTACGCACCCTTCGGCCAGGACTTCTGCCTGCCTAGGAGGATGTCCTCCCCCTCCCCAGTCGGAGATTCGCGCACAACAGCAACGATGATCACGCCGTCCGTCCTCGGGTGTGCGAAATTATGGAGTCCTTTTCTGTACCTTCGTCAGCCGGTATCCTACGGGCAAGAATGGGAATGGGCTCACCCAGAAGGACACGGCCCGCCCTTGTATGGGTTCTTGTTCTTTGCCCAAGGGAGGTTGCTCGAGCATCCCAATTTCCACCCACCCCACTATATATCCCATACCCATCAGACCGATTCCTCCAAGGAATTGATAAAGTGTCCACTCACAAGAGAAAATCCTTCCCCACCACAAGCGGGACAAAACCCATTCCTAGCATTCCAGTCCACCACACTCCTCGCAACGGCAAACACCGCACCGTCAAAATGGCTATAAGTGCTCGTCGCCGACCTCGGCTCGCTCCATTTCCCGTCTTTGAGCTCCTCGACCCCTTGCACCCAGCTCTCGTCCACGTCGGACAGGTCTACAGCCCAGTAAGGCACGCCCTTTATCTCCTCGTGGCTGGCGATCTGCTTCACTTCCTCAGAGGGGAGGAGCGCTGCGCCCTCGTCCTCCAACACTCCGAGAAAGACAAGTGGCACACCTCTATCCCTAAACCTACACGCCTCGGTCCATTTCCCCTTCTCGGCACTCTCTCCCTCTTTCTCCCCTTGCCCGAAATACGGCGCCTGCCCGACGAGCGGAGAGATCCTGTCGAATGGCACGTGCGCTGCCTTCCCCCCTGTGAGGAGGGGCCTGCCGGTGTGGAAGAGCGTGAAGAGGGCGCGTGGGTGGGTGAGGGCGATGTTGAGGAATACGGTCGAGTGACGGAGGTAGGAGAGTCGGTTGATAGGCGGGGAAGAGTGGAAGTGGACGTAGCTGATTCGATTTGAGGGTTAGCGTGACTCGCTATTCAGGTGGAAAACTCACTTGTCGGCCATGTGTGCGAACGTAGATTTATCGTCTAGTTTGAGTACTGTTCTCAGTGAATGAAATGAAGTAAAAGAGCGATGAATACTAATCTGCAGGACAAGTCGTGGAATTGCAATGAAGGAATTGCGACAGAGTCGCATACCTGGCTGGGTTTGTCATCCCCTCCATCCTCCATCCACTTCCCTTCATCGTTTTTCCGAATTACAGCATCCTCAATAAGACGCACTTCAATTGATAAACTCCCTCCAGGAAGCGTAAAACAATACCATTGCAACTATCGACTTCATGCTCTATCGATGCTACATAGTCCGTCATGGCGGGTATACCATGAAAAGAAAATTAAAAGCGGTAGTCCATTGTCCCTGATACTAAAATCGTAGCTAGGGCAAACTCATGCCTTGACGCAAGCAGAACCATCGAGAGAAGGCTCGAACCCAGGTTGGCACTCGTAGACTGAACACAAGGAGTTAGCAAGTACTCGGTAAGGCACGAGAATACGCACCTTCGCACTTGCCGGCGTTGCAGCCAACGGACTTCGCAGATGCGATGTCAGTGCAGTCCTTGCCGGATTCGCCGGGAGCGACGCAGCCGCCACAGGAAGTAAGGTCTTGGAAGGGGTCGATGCTATCCCGCACGATCAGCAAAGGCCCACTTAAACGACCAAGTGACGTACCATTCGAACTCGCCGAGATGGAAGCCAATGCTGCATGCCTTCAGCCCAGCAGGGCAGTCCATCGCCGCCCTAGTACGCATCACGCCCCCAGCACGGCGGAGCTTGTTGTGCCCGCTTCCGTGGTACTTGCCACTCGGCTGGGGTGCGGAAGGGCTGGGCTGGGGCTGCTTGCAGCATTGATCTTCCTGGGACCAGGGCCAGCTGTTGGGGCAGCTCGAGCCTTGGGACGGCTGGGGGGTGTTGGGCTGCTCGGGCACGCAGCAGGAGTAGCCGGAGTGGTAGTAGTAGTCATTGGGGCAGGACTTGCCCGACCTTGGTGCTTGTTAATGCATTTCACAAGGTAACGGGAACAAGAGGCACGTACGGAGGGTTAGATGCGGAAGCCTTGCTACCGGTCGGAAGGCAGACCTCCTTCACAGACCAGAAAAACATGCCCTGAGCGCAGCTAGTCGTGCGGTCGACGAGCCCGGTCCGCTGAGAAACGGCAGCGAGCACTGCGGGAGCAGCAGCGGCGAGGAGGGCAGCAGCGAGTGTACGACCGAACAACATTTTGATGTTTATGTAAAGAGAGTGTGTTTAAAAAGAGTGTGTACTTTGAATGGAGAAATCCAAATAGCGAACTACACAGAGTACGATACTTGGGGGAAAGGGCGAAAAGGGGGATAAAGCAGCGCCTAGCGAGCGGCGTCGCTCTTGTACCGTTTGCCGCTTGCCCGTTCCGGCCAGAAGATCCAAAACAGAACGACCAGAACGGGCAGACCACGCTGTAAGAAGATGATTTCCACGGAAATTTGCGAGAGAGCAACGGGAACTGCGGCCAAGGATACGTTTGTACATTAGAAGCCTAGCTGTTCTGGACCGATCTTCATTGGAAGCAGTGCAGAGCCATTTATTTTTTGATCGTGAAGAGCGGTATGAGCGGCATGAATAGCACCCAAGCATGCAATACCACGTAACCGAGAGGAATTCATTTTAGTTCTGGTCGTAAAGCTGCGCGTCTGGAAAGAGTCGGGAGCAGAGAAGGACGGAATAGGCGGAAAGGAAGAGTGTGATCACTAAGAGTCACGCGGCGGGCCCCGTAAAACGAACGTTCAAAAGCAACAGTTTCAGCAAGAGATCATGATGTCGCCGTTTCGATCCATCATCATTGACAGTGTCACAATACAAGGACCTTGAAAGGATCACAGGCAGGATTGTATTGTTGCCGCGGGAAAAGCATGGAATGCGGTGCTCTACCCATGAGGCGAGTTCACTACTATTTTCCTACCCAACATGGACAAATCTACTTCGATTGTCCACTCTCGCTGTGCAGAGTGGCTACTACTCATACATCCGCAAAACGCTAACAACAAGCCGCGTTTAGCGGAGCAACATTACACATCGACGTCAACCTGGATTACATAAAGATACGAGTATACCGAGAAACGCATTCAAAGGGATATCACTTGATGGAAGTTGATCAGGTTGGATGGAGTGAGAGAACGCAGCAATAGACAGAGTATAGGAAGTAAGTCAGCGAGCGAGTTGTATGACCGCACCATCGGGCTCCAAGATCGAGACAGGATGGCAGCGGGAGATCGTAAATGTTTGGTGGAGGTATGAGTGTGGTATTGCGCAAACAAGGAGTGTTGTATCTGCTCAAAGGCGATCTTCGAGCGAAAGCTTTTGGCGATAAATAGACTGGAACAGAACAAGGTATCAAGAGTCACTTCAACCTGGTTGTTGATGTGAGCTGTGTGGAGGTGGGGAGAACGATAGCAGCTCGGAGAAGGGAGGGAGCACGGTCTGCTGCGGCTCGGGTTCATCTTGATCCATGTCGGAAGACAACGGGCTCAAGTGGTGAGGCGGCACGCGGAACATGGGGTGGGGCTGGCCGTTGCCATTCTCCACAGGCACGGGCAGACCGTACATCGGCATCTGATTGTCGTTCAACGGCAATGCAGATATTGGGGGCAGTCCCATCTTGAAACTACTGGGCGGAGCGGCAAAGGTCGACGTCGAGCTCGAATTAGACATATCGGGACTGCCCACCTTGGCCCGATTGCTGAAGTCGCTAATGAACTGGCTTTCCAGTGGGGTAATTTGGCCGTACGTCTGCGTTGGGGCGTGATTAGTCGGGGGCAGGGAGGAATTCGTACGTAAAGAGGAGGTAGAGATCGTCCCACGCAGGCGGAACTGGTTATATCGAGTATGTGACGGACCCGGGTCAGAATAGTCCGAGTGTTGAGTGAGTCCCGAACGGACAGAGAGCAAGTCGGAGGAAGACATTGAGTGATCGCCATCGCCATCCCTTCGCCGGGCCTTGATGCGTGCTTCGAACTCTTGCAACTCTGCATGCCGCTCCTCTGCTTCTTGGAGCGATGAGTAAGTGCGAACGCTGGCCGCGGCGCGACCTAAGCTACGTGTGCTGAGCGCTGGCCCCGTATCGGACCGTTGCTTGCCCTTGTCTTCCATCGGTGGTCCGAAGGGCATTGTACCCGCCAGGGCAGGGTCGATGCCCACCACACCAGCGGCGGCGGCAGCAGCAAGCGCAGCTGGGTCCGATTGGGCCGAGCCATTCAAGACGGCGTGTATGCTGGGGTTACTTTGCAATGCCATTTGCGTCTTGCCGGAATCCCACTCGTTCCACCCGGTCTCGTTCGGTGCTGCTAGCTGATTCCTCTTCGCCAGCTGTGCACGAGCACGTTCCCTCTGCAGTCGCTGCTTCTTCTCGAAGTCAAGCCTACGTGCGTCTTCCTTCGCCTTACGCTCGTCCTTCTTCGAAGGGGGTTCTTTGCTGCTCGACCCGTTCGAGCCGTGCGAGTGCTGGTGCTGTAATGGTGGGGGAATGACAAGTTGTGGGGCAATCTGCTGCTGCTGGTGGGCCGGGAGCGGTGGTAAGCTCATTGACATCTGGTGTTGCTGCTCGTGTTGTTGCTGGTGTTGTGGTAATTGTGGGACCATCGGCTGCGCAGGCGGCATGACATGCCCATAAGGCCCAACAGGAGGGTGCACGCCCACCTGACTCGGTTCCTGAAAGCTTCCTGTGCTCCCAGAGCCAGACGGTGGCCTCCTAAGATTAGGGTTCGACAAGCTGTTCGCCAGCTCTTCTTGCGAAAGGTGCTGTCCCTTATCAGAGTGCCCAAACAGCCCCCATCCTTTCGGTTTTTTGAAGCCCAAGCTTCCCAGCATACCCTTGCTCGCCTGCTGATGCTGGTGTTGGGCATGTTGTGCCGCTTGCTGCTGGGCAAGCGCTTGCGCTTGCGCCTGTGCTTGCTGCTGGTGATGGAGAACTAGGGCTCTTTCCTTCTCCTCAAACTGCCTCTTGAGCGTGGCCATAGCCTCCTGCTGCTGCCTTAGCAGGGCGAGCTCTGCCTCCTCTTTCTGCCGCCACAACTCTGCTTGTTGGGCTTGGAAGCTGTCCCCAACTCCAGACGCAGAGGGATAGGACAGATCGATGTCCATCTCTCCTATCCTGTCTATCAGCTCGTTCGCCGTGCCTCGCCCAGCAGGTGGCTGACTGTCAGGATAGTTGTACCCCTGTGAACGCGTGCTTTGGGGGGACATATGCGAGCTGGAAGGTGACGGCGTAGGCGGATAAAAAGGCGGCAACCTCCCTTGTTGACTGGGTCCACCGTTGGTCTGCGGCGTAGGCAAATCAGTTGGAAAGGCCGGTTTTGGGAAGGCAGGGGAGTGCGAATGTGACGGAGGGAGGGAACGTGGCGACATGGGGGAGATGTGCATGAGCTGAGTCTGGGACTGCGTAAGCGGCAAGGACATCTGGGACGTTCCCCCGAATCCCTGTGAATGGTTCACGTGCATGTGCCGTTCGAGAGACGACTGGCTCGCACTGTGATTCAGCGTGTGGGGTGGGGGGGCAGCGGGCATCGCGCCTGGTACGATATGCGGAGGGAGGACGTGCGCGGTCTCCTGCATATACTGGTGATTGACCACTTGAGCGGCCGTTGGTCGCCGAGCAGGATCGTACTTGAGGAGATCGGCAATGCACTGCACAAGGATGGGGGAGACGTAGGGCTCGAAAAGACTCGTAAAGTCCACAGGGGGCCTGGCGTCGATATGATACCCTCGACGGGAGAGCATGCTTGCCGCTCGAGGCCAGGCGCCCCCTCCTATCGGTACACCCCGCTCGTCAAATGCATAATCCCGATCAAAATCACCGAGCATGTCGCAGAGTTTCCCTAGTTGGTCTAGTTCGCCTGAACCGGGGAATAAAGGACGGAGGTTGACAAGCTCTGCCATGATCGTCCCGAAAGCCCACAGGTCGACGGGGGCAGAATAGTCCGTTGCACGAAGGAGGATCTCGGGCGCACGATACCATCGCGTGCTGACGTACTCCGTGTATGGAGGCTCGGAGAGAATCTCTCTTGCTAGACCAAAGTCTGCGAGCTTGACGATGACCTGTACGTCCTTCTCTCCCTGACTCGCGCTCGTCCCGTTCCGATAAACGCCGTTTCTCCCAGGGACAGCACCATACTCTGCTACACCGGTAGTAGTGACAAGGAGGTTTTCGGGCTTCATATCCCTATGAAAATAACCCTGATCGTGCATGTGCTCAAGACCGGCAATGGTCTGTTTGAAGATGGAAGCAATTAGGCCTGCTGCGAATGGGCGCGTTTTTCGGGCTTTGATAAGCTGGTAAAGGTTGCCTTCCATGGATTCGAAGACGAAGTAGAGCTCGAGTGAGGAGGGGAGGAGGAACGCGTCGTAGAGGGGGATGATAGAGGCATGGGGAGATATTCGACGTAATGACTACATTCCATTAGCATAGGTCGCACAGTGAGAAAAACACATACTTCGAGCTCTTTGAGCTTGCAGCACTCGTCCCACCCACCATTCCACCGTCGATTGAGCCTCTTGACAGCGACGAGCCGTTTGCCCGTCCATTCAGGGCGCAATTTCGCCCCCTGGCCGCATTGCATAGGGCTTAGAGGCGTGCCTGGCGGTAAAGGAGAGTGCCAGTCGCAGAGCCATACAGTGCCAAAGGATCCATCGCCGATGAGCTTGAGTGGTGTATAGGCGCGAATCCCGTCTAGAGAAGAGGTCAGGGACGATTTTGCTCTTGGCGAGTTGTAGGGACGTACCTGGCATGAGAGAAGTTGGAGGGAGGGCCTGTACGCGCACCCTGTCATGCTTCTGCAGCGCTCTTGGGTTCTGTCCCTGGGCCTGCTGCTGATGCTGGGGAGGGTCTCCCGCTCTTTCCAGAGGAGCAGCATGGTCTGGGCCATTCATTGTATAGGCAGGAGACGCCCGTCTGCTGAGCGGTTGGGCGCCTTGGTTATTTGATGATACCAAGAGAAGGTTATTGAAGCCGTTGTGGATAGGCGGCGTCGCCAGTAAAGTCGTCGTGGTCGTCGTTGTCGTCGCCACGGTTGTCGTTTGTAACGTAGCGCCCAGAGGAGAGATTGACTGTTTGTGCTAGACAGCTCGACGGTAAAGCGCAAGTACTGTTGACACGGGCGGCGGAACCTCCATTACTCGGCTCCGACCGATCCGCCACACCAGTGCGCCAAATCACACAACGCGCGCTTCTCTACAATCATAATCAATCCATTAGAAAAAATTGGGACTTCAAATTTTTCATCCTTCTAATTTGACCTAGATTCAAGATTATAAAAAGAACTATACTATACTGGACATGTTCACGCAACACCTACCTTGTCCTTGGCACCAACGGACTGTCAGCCACGCTCGACGCTTCTACGTATTCCAGACAATGTACCATGTGGAGGCGCCTCTGACATTAATAGTCCGATAGAGTGCCAGCTTGCACATGAGCCACCACATGAACAGCTCAGAAAAGCGGACCTATTCCGCATCTTTGTGTTCTCGACCCGGGCCAGTGATTGCACACAGATTATCTCTGGTATGTTGCACAGGACCAGCCCTAATGTACGTCAATCATCTAAGAATGGTTACTCCAATTGTGCTTCTTCCACAGGCTGTTGCTTCTCTGACATCTCCGAGCTGGATCTGGACTCTTGACTCTCGCTTCCAGAGCAATGCCCAGCGATGTATGACAAGGAGGAACTAGTGTGCTGCGTACTTAGCGCGTGACTCGATACGCGTCGTCACTCCAGCCTCTTGACTCATTTCCATGTCTCCGTCTCAACTCGCCCCGACATTCTCCTGTCGCATATGGTAATCCCTATTCCATAAAGCTTCGACGAGGACTTGACAAGTACACAACATACCCAGTATGCCTGCCATAACCCTCATCTTAAATACCAACCACACCAATAAAGCTACGGTCGTCACGACGATACCCTCAGGCGCGTACCTGCTCACACAAGCCCGTAATAAGTTTCGCTCCAAGGCGCTGTCTACTGTCTTTCGCCAGGGAGGTGTCGTTCTCGGTTTAGAGGACGAGCTGCCGCAAGATGAGAACAAAGTTTGGATTTCGAAGGGAGAGGAATACAATGGACCTCCGGCGAGAGAACAGCTGCGCGAGCCTGGGGACGTCGCCGAAGTGCGGACAATCGCATCCAAGAGCTACGTGAACGACCAAGCAGTGAAGCAGCTGCAACAGGTGGCCGCCCTGCCAGGCGTTAGGTACCTCCCTCCTTTTATCCCGGTAACAATATCTGATGTTCCCCAGAGTGGCAGTCGGGATGCCCGACCTGCACCCAGGCTCCCGTTTCCCCATCGGCTGCGCGCTCATAGCAGACGGCGTCTACCCCGCACTCATAGGCTCCGATATCGGCTGCGGCATCGCCCTATACCGTCTGTCCGCCCTCCCCTCGCGGCTCGATCCAGGGAAGCTGGCACACCGCCTAGTTGGGCTGGACGAGCCATGGGAAGGGGATGTGCGCGAGTGGTTGCGAGGGTACGCAGTGGATAGAGAGACAGAGTTTGACGCTTCTTCGTTGGGCACCGTAGGCGGAGGGAACCATTTTGCAGAGATATGCAGGGTGGAAAAGGTCGTTTACACCCAGGTAGCAGCGGACCTATGCATATCAGAGGATGACATCTACCTTCTTGGTACGTCCTTCCCCCCTTCCCCAGCTCTTCAGCTCACGTCATGACAGTGCACAGCGGTTCCCGCGGTCTTGGCAGCTCCATCCTCGCCTCTCAAACCTCGTCCAGCTCGAACCCCTACCTGCCCCCTTCCTCCGCCGCCCTCTCCGCCTACCTAGAAGAATACGACGCCGCGCTCCTCTGGGCGCTCGCAAACCGTGACCTGATCGCTCAGCGCATCGCTCTCTGCCTCGGCCTCCCAACGCCGCTCGAGAAAATTGTAGAAGTGTACCATAATTCTGTCACGCCTGTGCGGGGGGAAGATGGCGTGAGCAGGTGGTTGCATAGGAAAGGCGCGGCGCCGAGTGATAGGGGATGCGTACCGTGCCCCGGGAGCAGGGGGGACTTTTCCTGGCTATTGCGACCTAGGGGGGATGGCAGGGTGAACGGTGCGCTCGCCTCTTACTCCTTAGACTACCCAGACTGATAATGACTGCAGCATATTCTCTCGCACACGGTGCAGGCCGGCTCCATTGCCGACAAGATATGCACCAATCCAAGCCTCCGAAAGGGTCGTTACTAGTCACCTCCCTCGGCTCGGAGGTGGCATGCGAAGACCCGGAGCTGCTACTTGAGGAGAGGCCTGAGGCTTATAAGAGCGTCGAGTGTGTTGTGGGGGATTTGGAGGATGAAGGGGTTGCGGAGCGGGTGGTGTGTTTGAGGCCTGTTGTGACTTACAAGTGCAGAGCTAGGTAGTCGTGAGGGAATATCAGATTGCTCATACTTCGCAGAACGCGGTATCGGATATGCATGAATCATATTTTGGCGACATGCAAAGCATACCATTGTAACATGCACAAACGGACACAAAAAGTACTCGAGCCCCGACATCCTCCCCACACCAACCAACAGCCAATCCTCCGGACGATCACGCCTAGCGGTACCTGCGGAGAGAGAGGGTGTTGTGCTTCTTCCAGGTCGCGTTCTTCGGGGTATGGTTGTGCCTGCTGCCCTTGCCCAAGCCCCTGTTCTGCTTGCCGATACTCGTCAGTCCACGGGCCTCACGGCGCTTATGGACGGGGTTGCAGATCCAGTTAATCCTCGCGTCGCGGCGGATCGCAGGGTGGCTCGGGTCGACGCAGATCACTTCGTAGTACTTGTACACTCCGTCCTGGTTGATCCAGTAGGAGTTGAGCACGCGGAGGTTGCCGCACCGCCTGCCGACACGCTCTTCTGCTGTGGAACGGAGGGAGCGCTGGAACTTGAGGTGGTTCACACCCTGACGAACGGGCTTGCCGTATGTAGCACCTGCAGAACATAGTCAGTCCAAGGATCGATCTTCCCTGGAACGTACGCACCCTTCGGCACAGGCTTCTTCCTGTTACCCCTGCGTACCCTGATCCTATAAACGACATAACCCTGCTTAGCCTTGTACCCGAGCCTGCGAGCCTTGTCCGGGCGCGAAGGGCGGGAAGCGCGGTGGATGACATTAAGCTGCCTGTACTCCCAGCAACGGACGCGGAGGAGAAAACGGAGGACGTCGGACTGCTTCTTCTTGTAGAGCTCGGTGACGTATTTGTATGCGCCCATGGTGACTGTACAGAGGTGAGCAAGGGACAAACAACATCTGAGCTGGGTGGATGGCATCCATCCCGTGTACGACCCATCCATCGCTTTCTCCCATCCGATCTTTCCTCAGTCCAACCCACTGCCTCCTCAACGTCCTGGATGATGAGGAGATGTACTCACATAGATGGGGATGTCGGTGTCGGGTGCCGGAAAGACGTCTTCAACGGTGTAGACGATGAGCAGCTATCAACCACCCACAAAATGTCGCCCTTCCAAATTGCTCCCGCACTTCTCAGTGGCTGTGATTTATTCGGAGATGCGGCTCCGGGGTCGTAAAAGATGTGGTTATGCAGTTTTAATGTAAATTCTGCCCGATGGACCCTGTGCCGATGCGGCACCGCGGAGCGGGCGGGGCAGCGGACAACGGGGACACGGGGCAAAGGGACACTCGCGGGCGGACTGCCGGGAGGTGGGGCTACTTCTAACGAATCTCTTGACTTGTCATTCGGCCAGCGTGACCAATTAATGTTTCGGCGCTCTCGGAGTTCTTAAATTCTTCAGAGAAATTAAGAGCGTGACTTGGAGGCTACCCGGAGGATCATATAAGACTTCTTAATGCCAGGTTTGAGCGCGGCAGGGATCAACTCTTTCCTCACCTTCCACCTTCACTTCCAGCACCCAACATCCTACGCCCTCTAAACACCCACACAACAACAGCACACAACCGCCAAGATGTTGGTCACTAAATCGCACGTGGATGTCACTCACTCCCTCACGGGCAAACCCATGCGCATATTCATCATCGAACCCGTGCTGCCCGAGTACCCTAACGCCAAATTCCCTGGGATTGTCGTCTTTTCAGAGATCTACCAGGTCACGGGCCCGGTAGAGCGTTTTGCAGGTCAAATCGCTAGCCAGGGCTACGTTGTCGGTGTGCAGTCATTTTCCTGATCCTCCTAGAGCATACCTCACGATGAGTGATTGATTAGCTTGCCCCAGCGTGTATCACGACTTTGAAGGCCCAGAGGCGCTCCCGTACGACACTGAGGGCACGGACCGCGGGAATAAGTACAAGATCGAGAAGGAGATCGCGAGCTACGACGAGGACAGGAAGCTGAGTGTGGACCTCCTCGTACAGCACAAGAGGTGCAATGGTCGTATCGGCGCTACTGGGATGTGCCTCGGTGGGCACTTGGCTTTCCGAGTGCGTGCGATATGAAAAAGGTTGAATAAAGTGCTCATTGAATGTTTGGTGACAGGCGGCCTTTGACGAGCGTGTGCTGGCATCAGTCTGCTGGTTCGCGACGGACATCCACTCCGCTACGCTTGGCAAGGGCAAGTCCGACGACTCGCTCATCAAAGTGCGCAAGGGAGAGCTGAACGGCAAGGGCGAGCTGGTCGTACGCGCAAATTTCCCCACTACACTGTCATGTGCTCACTCTGTGACAGATGATCTTCGGCAAGCAAGATACGCATGTGCCGAGGGAAGGGAGGGACCTGGTCAGGAAGACACTCGAGGATGCAGACGTGACCGTTTCTGTTCGTGCTTCTTCCCCTCTGCTCCTGCGCCTACCTTGCTAATCCCATCCAGTGGATCGAAGTTCAAGCGCAACACGCCTTCGTCCGTGACGAGCAGTCTAAAGGCCGCTGGGACGCTGCGCTCACCCGCAACCTCTTCGGAGTGATGATGGAGGTCTTTGACCGTACCGTCGCGCGTGACCTTGGCAAGCGCGTAGGAGGCAAGAGCGAGATAGAACATGTCTGCTGAACGTCTGGTGTGGAGTGAGAATCCTGGGAAGAAACTGTGAAAATATGAATTGAATTGTTGTTGTTTTACCACTTTACCGCTGGAATAATGGCCCGACCGAGGATGGACAGCATGGTCCCTGCGTTGTGTCCACCTGCATCGGAGGTGAGGAGAAGTACATCAATTTCTCTTCTTTCTACTGTTTACACATGATCTGTTTGTCCTTCTAATTTGCTGTTTTGCTGTAAACATCGTCGCTCGTTCATCTACTTTCTCTTGTCCAATACAACAACATCAACTCGAATCGAAATCGAAATTACAATGCTGCTCGCCCTGTTAACCCTAGGCGCCTCAGTCCTAGCCCAAACATCCACACCGCTCACTCTCCCCCTCACTCCTCCATCAAACGCCTCTCTCCCTCTCTCTCCCTCCTTCGCCTCCTTTTCCCTCGAGTTCGCTTTCATCCCTACATTCCTAGGCAACCTCTCTTCTCCCAATTCGCTCTCGCTCTCCCTTCTACAGGAGATTACGAGGCGCGCTGGGGAGCCACCTAGTTTCAGGCCGGGGGGGATAACAGTCGACAGCAGCGAGTATGACGTGACAATTCCAGAGATAGAGCTAGATGAGAGCTCAGTACGTCCCTTTCTCTCACAACGGTCAAGCACCAACTGACAAACCCAGACCGGCGGCATCTACCGCACCACCTACGGTCCCGGGTACTTCTCCACCCTCTCCCTGCTCGACAACCGCACGCAGTTCGTCTTTGGCCTCAACTTTGGTAACAACTCCCTCGACATCGCCCTCACCGAAGCGCAGGCCGCGTATGCTGCCATCCCAGCCAGCCAGCTGTGGGCACTCGAATGTCAGTCAACCTTTTGTTCAGTAGATGCGCGCTGATTGTGAAGGTAGTGGGGAACGAGCCGGATCAGTATAACGCCGAGCAACGGGATCTCTCTACCTGGAATGCACAGACTTACACGGAGGAATGGGTTGTACGTTCCCCTTCTTCATCCATTCTCTCCACTGCGCTCATGCAATCCTCCATAGAACTGGACATCAACCATCCAGTCCACCCTGGGTCTCACCAGCCCGCGCTTTGTCGCTCTCGGCGCAGCGGAAGACCCGACTTCCTCAGCACTGATCACAACTGTCGACGTCGTCTCTGACGGGATAACGCAGGGGAACACCGTGCGGGCCTTCTCCCAGCACATGTATCAGTACTCCACCTGCGACCCGACGCGGAACGCACTCGCTATCCTGCCGAACCTTATTAATCATAGGAATATCACGGCTTATGTGGACGAATGGCGCCCGCAGGTCGCCGCTGCGCAGAGTGTAGGCGTGCCGTTCTTTGTCGGGGAGTTTAATAGCGTAAGCTGCTCTGGGAAGCAGGGCGTGACGGACACTTTTGGGCAAGGTGAACACTTTCGTATCTGCACTCGCACGGTAGCTGACATGCGACTGCCAGCCCTCTGGATAGCAGACACAATGCTCTACGGCGCATCGATCAACATCACCAAGATGTTCCTGCACCAAGGTGCCGTGCTCGTCTTCCAGTCCTCGATCCAAACCAACACTCCCGGATTCTCGCACTACGACACCTGGTTCCCCGTACCTTCGAACGGCACCGGCGCAGGGGCATCGCCGTCTTTCGTCGCGTACCTCCTCCTGGCCGAGGCTATTGGGCCTAGCAACCAATCCCGTATCGCACCCATCCAAGCTCCGGGGAACCTTGCGGATAATCTGGGCACGTACGCTATTTGGGACCCGACGGTGAACACTACTGCCCCGGCTAGGCTCGTACTGCTCAATATGGACATATACAACGTCTCCTCACCCAGTCCGCGCCCCTCTGTCTCGCTCGACCTCTCCAGTCTGGTAGGAAGCGGAAGCGTCCAGCTGAAGAGGATGACAAGTCCCGGGCTGGACGAGACGGACGCTACGCTCGTCACTTGGGCCGGGCAGCAGTTCCAGACCGGCAGCGCGGCAGGTACGGAGATTATCGAGACTGCCAATGGGGCGAACGTCACTGTCTACGCTAGTGAGGGAGTGCTTGTCTTCCTCAGCGGCGGCGCGACGGCGGGAGGGAACCGCACAGGCGGAGGCTCGACTGGTGGAAGCGGGGGGAGTACAGGGAGCGAAGGATCACAGACCTCGGGCGCGAGGAGGACGGCGAGTATCTTTGGTTGGTGGAGGCACTAAATATCTGTACTAAGCTGTTGCGAATGGACTTGCGGACTATGACTGCGCTTCAAACAACTGTCCTTTCTCCTGCGAATCAGAAGGTATCTACCGCAACGGGGGATAAGAGGACAAGGTATCAAGGTCCATGGTCCATAAATTCTACTCCTGTGGCCATCACAGCGTCGACTACTCATACACTCTGCCTCACGCACTCATTTCCCAACTGGACCCATCCTCGTCTGCAGCTCTGGACGACACAAATACCGTTGACGCACTCCACCATATCCCCACCCTCCGTCAAGCCACAGTCCATCCCACACGCGCCACAGTTTTCGAAGCTACTGCTCAGGTTGATGCATTCAGAGTGCCCATTCTGCACACAAAGAGACTCGTTCCGGCTGCGACATGAGGTTGGCCCGACAGGGAGCTGCTCGCGAGCACGTCGGCGTGCAGCTGGTGAAGAGCCCGCAACGCACTGATTCACGTTCAGGTTGCAGACGAAGGCTGTCCTCGGGCGCATTGAGTAATTGCAGAGCTTCCTTAGCCCCACATAACACGCACCTGGAGTGTCACATCCAACCTCGAGTTGGTTGTGGGCAAAAGCTTGGTTGGAGTTACATGCTGCACCTGAACCGCCGCAGATGCCATCGGAACCGCAAAAGTCTGTCTCAATCGAAATCCAACACTGACGCAAAGTGAGGTATCAAGAAAAACGAACCGTAGCAATTGTTGTCCGTTCCACACTTTGCACCATTATCCCCGCAAAACAGATTGGGTGCGCAAAACCCGTTGAAAGTCGAGAGGGTGCCTTGTGCGTTTTCTGCCGTCCCTTCAATCCAGAGAAGATATAAGTGTGTGTTATTTTAACCAGATCGCAAGAAAAGCAGCGCACATGAACAAGCGTTACCAACTGTTGAGCAATGGCCACCGCCAGTCGATGAAAATGGGACAACCGATGGCGCAAGCAACAACAGAATAACCACGGAAATCGAGGGCATCGTGGGCATTGTGTGTGCAGCGGGACTGATGTTCCTTCATCGTGAAGCATTATTATGAATAATTCAGAGACCGAGTCTTACGTATACAGCAGTCCTTTGCGGCGTATTGTGAAGAGGCGCTTGGTACTCGACAGCTGCGGGTCGGCAAGCGCTGCAAATGTACCGACCAAAGATGGATCAGATTTCGATAATCATAACTCGGCCTTCTAGGTGGAATTCACCATGTCGGAGAAAAGTTGCGGAACCTATGGTGACAAGATGTCCAAACAAAATTAGAAGAGGAGAACAAGGGATTGCAGGGTCTACATCCCCGACAAGGACGGAAATCAAGCGCCTGTCTCAATACGTTTCCGGGAACAATTTATTCTCATGATATTTGGATCATGGCAAAACTGCGACAGAATACAATCGCCAACCGGAACCGGTGTTGCCGAGTGTGCCACAGGGACAGTCCCAAAAGAAACACGAGCACAGAAGGAAGAACCTTGGTGATCTTTACGCCTATTCTCTCACAGCGGCGAATACTCATACGGTCTGCTTCACACACTCATTTCCCAACTGAACCCAGCCTCGTCTGCAACTCTGCACAACGCAAACACCCTTCACGCACTCCACCGTGTCCCCGCCCTCCGTTGAGCCGCAGTCTATCCCGCAAGCGCCGCAGTTCTCAAAGCTGCTGCTCAGGTTGATGCATTCAGAGTGCCCGTTCCGCCTGCAAAGAGACTCGCCCCGGCTGCGACATGAGGTCGGCCCGACACGGAGCTGCTCGCGAGCACGTCGACGTGTAGCTGGTGAAGAGCCCGCAACGCACTGATTCACGTTCAGGTTGCAGACGAAGGCTGTTTTCGGGCGCTGTTAGGAAATCATGCAACTTCATTTCCCCTGCAAAATACACACCTGGAGTGTCACATCCTTCCTGAATTTGATTGTGGGAAAAAGCTGCGTCGGAGTTACACGGGGCACCTGAACCGCCGCAGATGCCGTCAGAGCCGCAAAAATCTTTCTCAATGGTGATGTTCAGCCCAAGGTATGACCTGGTATATCGAGGAAAACAGACCGTAGCAGTTGTCGTGAGATGTACATTTTGCACCATTATCCCCGCAAAAGAGATTGGGTGCACAAAACCCGTTGAAAGTCACGAGTGTGCCTTGTGAGTTATTCGAGAGCCCTTCAATCAGGAGATGTGAGTCTGTGTTGTCTTTAACCAGATCACAGGAACAGCAGCGCACATGAACAAGCGTCACCGACGGTTGAGCATGGGCCACCGCCGGTCTGTGCAAACGGGACAACGGATGGCACAAGCAACAACAGAATAACCACAGAGATCGAAGACATAGCGGGCATCGTGAGTGCAGCGGGGCCGACCTTCCTTCATGGCGAAGTATTATCAGTACTTTGAGAGACCGAGTCTCACGTATACAGCAGTCCTTTGCGGCGTATTAGTTGTCAAGAGGCACTTCATGCCGACAGCTGCGGGTCGGCAAGCGCCGCAAACGTACCGACCAAGGATGTATCAGATTTCGATAATCAGAACTCAGCCTTCTGTGTGGAAGTCACCATGGAGAGAAGTTACGGAACCTATGGGAACAACAAATTAAAGGGTTGCAGGGTCTACATCCCCCGGCTAGGACGGACATCAAGCGCCCGTCTCACCTCGGAAACAATTCGTTCCCGGCCCCCATGTTCAGATAGTTGCAAAATGGCCAGGGCAAGACATCTGCGACTGAATATATGACCTACATGTATAGAGTTGCCCCGTGCGCTGCTTAGACCGCAGGGAGGGTCCAAAAAAAGACAACAAACTACGAGAGCACAAAATGAATAACCTCAGTTTGTGCGACTATTCCCCTATGTCCCTCCTCACTATGATCCAATTAGGTGTATGGCGGGTAAGAACAAAAAAAAAAGTTGCAGCGTCCGCAAATGCGCAGTGTAGAGTACGCGCTCGTCCATTCGAATTATCTCCTCCCACCTTCTGACTTCATCACAGAGGAATACACGCTCCTCCCAGTAGAACCCACCCCCGTCTGCAACTGCGCACTTCACACCGACCCCTGATGCAATCAACCTCGTTACCTCCTTCCATCTGCGCACAGTCCTTCCGGCACGTTCCACAGTTTTCGAAGCTGGTCTGAAGGTCAACGCACTCTGCCACGCCGTTGAAGATGCAGTGTGATTCTGTTCGACTGCGACAAGCACTTGGGTTGACCGGCAGTTGTTCACGGGCACGACGCCTCGCAGCGGAGGAAGCGGCAGATACACAAACCCCCGGAGCTCCATCGACGGAGCAGATAAATGCTGGGGAGATGCAACTGAGCTGAACTGATTACAAGACAGTGAGGCGAGGAAAAGCCTTACCAGGAGAGTAGCATGTGAATTCGTTTTGACCACTCTGGAAAGGCTTTTGGGAACTGCAGAGCGCGCCTAAGCCACCGCAGATATTGTCGCTACCGCAATAATCTGTTTGAGGATGTAAGATCTCCGCTCAGAGCATTGTAAGCAATTAACGCCTTGAAATATCTGGCCAAAACCCTGCGCAGCGGAGGAAAGGTCCGGGAAAGACGAAAACGTTCGAAGCAACGTACCGTAACAGTCGTCGTACTTATTACAGTTCGCTCCATTGTCCCCACAGACTTTGTCTGGTGCGCAGAACCCGGACAATGTGATGCCTCCAATATGGTCTAGGTCCAACCATGCGTGGATCAGCCCATGCAGATACAGACGTGAGAGGAACGCACTGGTGCAAGCTGTGCCGGTGCAGGGGCTGCCTGCTATTGGCCAACCAGCTCGGACGGAATGATACAGCATTATGAAAATGACCCAGCTGATCGTCCGAACGTAGAACATCTTGACGGCCGGGTCCAAGATCTGCAAGTCAAGGAATCAAAGACAATCCCTTGTCATGAATTTCACCCTGCATCTTTAATACCCAGCAGTCAAAACAGAAAGAGTCCTCAATTGGTGAACAGCCTCCGTAGCACCAAGCGTGCTGCGCACAAGAAGACACCTACTTCAGTTCGAGGACTATTCATTTCGGCAGCACGGATACAGCCGCAAACCTTTCAGAGGGCGTGGGAACGTAAGCTCCGCAACAAGAAGTGGCACCGCCAGGGTCATAGAAGCAAGACTGAATGGGCCCTTGTCCCAAAACAGAAGCCTTTCAAGGCGCAAGATAAGGTCCGGTAACGGTTGGCTTTGAAAGTGTGCGGCCATGGAATGAGGCTCGAGATACAGCACGACACCTTACTCCGGGAGGCAAACATCGCCGAAGAGCACCCAACCCCGTCTGCAACTCCTAACCTCACATGTGCCTCTCACACACTCGACCACGTTGCCACCCTCTACTTCACCACAATCGTTTCCGCATGTTCCTCAGTTTTCGAAATTTGTTCTCAAGTCAACGCATTCCGAGTGTCCATTGCGGGCACATATTTCTTCAGTCAGGCTGTGACAGGACATCGGACCAATACGATGTTGCTCGCGATCACGTTTGCGCGCGGCAACCGATGAGCCTGGAATGCAACGATCGTTGTTAAGGTCGCAGATGAATACTGTCATTCGAATGGGTTAGAAGCGAAGATCCTTCATTGCCTAACTTGAACGTGCACCTGGGGTGAAACATGTTTCCTCGTTTTGACCGTGAGAAAAAGGCACCGTGGAGAAACACGAAGCTTCTAAACCACCACAGACACCATCTGCGCCGCAAAAATCTGCGGTAATCCTTGAGCGAGTGGCAAAGAGACAGAACAGTACTTGGTACGGACCAAAGCAGTTGTCGTCGGTCGTGCATATTGCGCCATTGTCCCCGCAAAATAGATTAGGCGCACACCACCCAGTGACAGTGATGATGTCGCCTGTAACGAGATCCACTGTCTGCCCTTTAAACGGAAGAATCAATGAGTTTTCCTACTGTCTAAATCCCTCGGAACAGCAGCGCACATGAGCAAGCATCACCCAAGGCAAGGCACGGACCACCCGGGGCCAACGAAAACGAGACAACGAAAGGCGCGAGCAAGAACAGAACAACAACCGAGGTCTTGACAGTCATGTTCGAGGTGGGTGTCCCAAACAGCTATGACACAACGCCTTATATCAGAGTTGCGAATTATAAGGGATATGCGAAATCGCTGCCCATATATCATGCGTGATAGGAAGCATGCTGACCAGGAACAGGTCAAGAACGCGCGGAACTTCGTCTTTTCCCAGGAGCAGTATCAGATTCCGGTCCAACAGCATACATTAAATTGAAAGATGCAAGAGATCTGCTCAATAGCCGCTGGTTCATCGGAACCAGAGGTTTCACAGAAGACAATATCGTTGTGGATGGACCAGGGAAGCAAGGCACCATATAACAGATGTCGCATCCATTGCAAGCAGACCCGGTTCAGAACGAAAATAGGTCGTATGCCATTCCACTTGTGACACTGATCTCCGTTGATGCGCCAACATAGATGCAGACATGAGCTGATAGAAAAGGCTGGTTCTTGATGTCAAGCGATTGGCACGGAAATATTCGGCCAGTCTGTCCACTATCCGCAGCTCCGAGTGCAGAACAGTAATACAGCCAGATAAGTAGATGCAGATGTTGCATGCGGGACGCACCTGTGTCTCATAGCAAATCCGCCTAGGTAGACCCTGAGATGAGATGCCGCGCGGAGTCTAGTTAGCATCAGTTGGAAGCAAAATCTGAGCCGGGTAATTTCCAGCAATCACCCACGGAAGTATCAGAGATTCCCCTGAGAGGTCATGTGAAAGCCATTGCACCTGTCACGGAAGTGTGACCAGTGGAAAGACCCGACAACATACATGATGATGCACTAACACATCATCTCACAAACAATGATAGAGTGACCCCCCCTTGACACATCCCCAAACTCTCATCCAAGTCAGCATGACAACAGGGCCACATGAGGCTTTCTTCATGACAAAGCCAGCCAATCATTCACCTGGAGAGATGTGGACTGAGTCTCCTCCTCAAGGGAGGGGCCAACATCCTGGCAAGCCAGTCCCATCCATTGTCATGAGGTAAGGGAACATTCATTCCATTTCTAAGGGAAAAGTATTGATATGATGTCCTGACAGGATGAGGAAGGCATGTCTCAAACATCACCACCTTTCCATGGCAATTGAGAATGCTGTGAGCATGTTGAAGAAAAAGAAGTCTCTCAAACATGCTTGTCACACAAGGGAATGCTGGAAGGCAGCCTTGAAAAGATTGGCTCATGTGGAGAATATGACTGTGGTGGATCACAAGATGGGAGTGTTGATGGACCTGATCATCCTAAGCAAGGAGGAGGAAGATAATGGTACAGAGTAGGGAAGGATGTTTTGTTCATAGGAGTCATTAGACAGTACATTCTGGATTGCACTTTTGCTCACAGGAGTCATTACACACTACATTCTGGATTCCACTGGATCATGCATTTGTGAAGAAGGGGAAGTATACTACTTCCAGACAAACAAAGAGTGTTGGTCCCAATAATGTGTGGGAACATGTCAGGGCACCAGCTCATTGCTTGGTCAAGAGACATGACTAAGCCTTTATGACATGGAAGTAGCTGGTATACCTTGGCATGTGCTGGAACCTGCTGGAAGGATTGGATGGTCAGGTGACCTGCTGTGCATGGCTGTGCATGACCTCATATGACCTCATCCTTGGTCATATGACCTGATCACCTGACTAGGCTGAGTAAGCAAGATGTTCTAGCAGGTTCCACCACAGAGGTATAAATATAAGGCCTACTCTGCCTGGGGACTG